GTCAAAGATCAAGGGGTAGGCAAATTCAGCATCTGGTGAGAGCGCTTTGCCTCATTTGCAGATAACCCCCTTCTCACTGTATCCTCACATGGCTCTGTCCCTCTTTTTTTTTTTTTTTAATGTTTATTTTTGAGATAGAAAGTGCCAGTGGGGAAGGGGCAGAAAGAATGGGGAACAGAGGATCAGAGCCCAATAGGGAGCTCGAACCCACAAACATGAGATCATGGCCTGAGCCCAAGTGAGACGCTTAACCAACTGAGCTACCCAGGCGCCCTGACACTGATCTCTTCTTGAAGGCTCTACCCTCATGCCCTAATTATCCCCCAAAGGCCTCACCTCCAAATACTATCATATCAGGGCTTCAACACATGACATAGTTGGGGGTGGGCACAAATGTGCAGTCCGTCACTTTCTCTGGGGGCAAGCAGGGCAAGCGAGAGTATGCAATGCTAACTAACTCTAGAGAATGCTACAAGACCAGAAATAAGCCTACCCATGTATGTGTTTATGGTCTGTCTCTTCCCTGCCCCATCCCTGCCAGCACACTCCCCACCATGCCCACATCTACACCCTGAAGAGCTGTGACCATCTCAGGCACCACTGCCTCACCAGAAACTAGCACATAAGAGACCCCTAGTAACTACTTGTTGAATGTGGCATATGAGCGAACACCATTCTCCTAGAATGTGGAAGACCCGACGTGTTCCAAGCTACCAGGATTCCCGGGCTTTAAACATTTTAGTTCCAAAAGAGCAGAATGTTTGAAAAACAATGATTTTTTAGCACTTAGTATTTATGTGCACAACTGTAACACGATGCTTTCAGACATTTGTCAGCAGCAAACACATAAGTACCAGGGGACCGCCATGGGCATATCTAGTGAGACCGTCATGATGTCCACTCTGTCTGTTGCCTTCCGCTTTTTCCTCCACTCCTCCTTCTTGGTGTCTTTTCAATTTGGCATATATCTATATATATCTCTCTATAGATCTACATATAGATATAGTTTTTAAAAATACATATACTTTATATATATGTGTGTATATATATATACACACTTTTCTTTGGGGGAATATTTCTTAAATGCAGACTACCAGATCATAGGCTTTTGCTCTCTGGGGTACTTAATAGATACATCAGAAGGTGGGCATTTTCCTGTGGCATAATCTTTCCTTTTTTAATTGTGGTAAAATACACAGAGCATAAAATTATCTTGACCATTTAAAAAATTTCTTAATGTTTATTTATTTTAGAGACAGACAGAATGTGAGTGGGGGAGGGGCAGAGAGATTGAGAGAGAAAGAGAGAGAGAGACAGAATCCAAAGCAAGCTCCAGGCTCTGAGCTGTCAGCACAGAGCCCAATGCAAGGCTCAAACCCACAAACTGCAAGATCATGACCTGAGCCAAAGTTAGCCGCTTAACCAACTGAGCCACCCAGACATCTCTATCTTGACCATTTGTAAGTGTACAGGTCAGGCATTAAGCAGCCATCACCACCATCCATTGACAGAACTCTTTTCATCTTGCCAAACGGAAACTCTGTAGTCAGAGGCCCAGTCCCCAGCCACCACTAATTCTACTTTTCCTCTCTGTGCATTTGAGAGGTACTGTGGGTAACTCATATGTATGGAATCATACACTACCTGTCCTTTGGTGACTTGCTCAATACACTTGGCATAATTTTCCTTTACCAACAGATAGCTCAGCATTTGACCGAAGAAGTTCCAACTTTGGGATGTTTTTCTTCTCTCTCACGTTCCCCAGGAATATCACACCTGGCTGAAAGATTTAAGGCAGATTAACTAAGGTGCCCACCCCTCATTTCCAAACCCTGAGGACAGGCAGCAGCCACTGCCTACTGTGCCCCATTTAAAGTTGTGATTTGGGGGGCACCTGGGTGGCTCAGTTGGTTAAGCGTCCGGCTTCGGCTCAGGTCATGATCTCGCGGTTCGTGGGTTCGAACCTCACGTCGGGCTCTGTGCTGACAGCTAGCTCAGAGCCTGGAGCCTGTTTCAGATTCTGTATCTCCTTCTCTCTCTGAACCTCCCCTGCTCACGCTGTCTCTCTCTTCTCTCTTTCTCTCTCTCAGAAATAAATAAAACATTTAAAAAAATTTTTTAAAGTTGTGATTTGGACGTGTGTCATGTCACTGTGCACGGGGGAGTGAGGAATTGTGCACTGGACATACATGCTGCATGTATTTGTGGGTCTCCTTTGTGAGTCTGTATGTTATGCAGACTACATGCTTTCAAAGATCACTGGGTAAGTTGAGGTACTGTTGGGTATTTGATTTATTCACAGAATGCTGAATATAGTCCAGGAGTGCTGCCATTTATATCTCTGCTTTAACGGTCTGTCTAAGATTCTATCTTGAATGGTGAGATCTCAAAGTACAATTTAGATTTGAAACAGCTGTGGTAGACCCAGCCACCTTGGATGGTGGAAATATCCCCAAGTGACATGAAGTAAATTAGCACATATTGAAGGGAGAATTTTCTAAGGCTTGGAATCACCATTTTCCCAGCACGGCCCCCCCCCCCCCCCGCCCCCAAGTAAGACCCAGGGGACACCAATTGAAAGGCGATGAAAAGAAATGGACTTGGCCCACGTGTCTCCAAAATACCAAATGCAGTCAGAGTGAACTGAAATTATCTGCCCGAACACATTAGATATTTTAACACCAATTCTCGGGCCTCAGAAGCAAGCCTGTCTGCTGGCAGACAACCAACACTGTCTTATTTAATTTTTAGATTTGGCTGTTAAATTTGGCCCCGTGTGAGTTTGTGTTTGATTGGATGTACGAGGGTGGTGGGTTTCTGGTGGGAAGGCCTGGGTTCTAGCTCAGTGACTTACTAGCTGTGCGAGCTTAGACAGGCCATTTCAGCCCCATGTGACTGTTTCCCCATCTGTACAGTGAGGGAAACACTCCTGCTCTGCTTGCCTTATGGGGAATTTGAAGATCAAATGAGACAGTGTTTGGGAACGATAAAATCACTATGCAGATGACCAGCATAATCACGCCCACAGGCGGGACATCAAATCCTTTCTGTCTTTCAAATCCTTTCACTCAATTCTGTGTTTAATTTACATGCTGTGGATTTTACCCCTCATCCTTGCAGAAAAATCCTTTGGGGAGCATCATATTTAGGCCTGGAATTGCTATATGTGTGAAGTTGCCGTATTCACCTTAAAGTCGTCTGAGATAAGGAAAAGACTGGAATTGGGGGTGGGGGGAATAGATCCAGAGAGATGGTAGCCCAAAGGCACAAAGAATCCTGATGTTCTTTCATTCCTAGATGACACTGACATCTAAGTCCAAAGCCAAAGGTTCTTATCCAAAGTTTAGGCTCACTGGGGTGCCTGGGTGGCTCAGTAGGTTAAGTATGTGACTCTTGATTTTGGCTCAGGTCATGATCTCACAGTTTGTGGGATTGAACCCTGTGTAGGGAGGGCTGTGCACTAACAGCATGGGACCTGCTTAGGATTCTCTCTCTCCCTCTCTCTCTGCTCCTCCCCTGCTTGCATGCACTTTCTCTCTCTCTTAAAATAAATAAAGAGACATCAAAAAAAATTAGGCTCACAGTTCCCCCAGTTTTCCACTTCTCTGCACCTTCTTCCTTTGGATGAAAGCGCTGAGTTTGTGTGTTGCTATCCTGAGCCATACTGGACACAATACTTAGTAACTCTAATGGCCGGGCGTAGAATGTATATTTGATAAACATTTATAATAGAGGGAAATACACTTATTGTTCTCTTATCATCTTAAGTTTCTGAAGCTACAGCTCGAGAAACATGTTCACTATATTTCCACAAATCTGAGATGCCGTTATTTCTGAACCCACCATTTTTTATATACTGCAAAGAGAGGAAAAGCTTTTATTAGTTAAAATATGACACAGTGCTTCCTTATTGTGTCAATTATAAGCCACTGTGTTTGATTTCACAGATGTTAAATGTGAAAGAAATATGCGTTTGGAATAGAGGAAATGGCAGTGTGTTTATGTCTTCCAAAAGGTAAAGCTTTCAGCTTCTGGTTCTGATGCATTCTTAGATCAGCAAACGTCAAAATGGTCTCCTTTCTAGTCTCAGCTCCTTGCATTTTATGCTTTTATGTGGGTTGAAAGGAGACATTAAATCGATTTTTCTTATGGACACAATAGTACCAAGTACTTCTCTGCACTTGAGTATAGATTTAGGTAAGGGTGGATTATAAAATGCTTGTCAGAGCCAAAATTACAATAGTTTTGTGGTCTGTTGTTTACTATGAGATTTAAAAGAGTGAGAAATGTTTAGGGTATTTGATGCATCTATTGTGGGGTTTTCTATCCTCCCAAGTGGCGCTTTTTATTATTTTTGTTGTTACTGTTGTTCTATTTGATGCTTCATTGGGCTGTTTTGTGGCTGTTATTTAGGTTATTCTTAGTTCAGTAAAGCAACTGAACTGTGAGCGTCCCACTGCACAGAGATATTAGCCATGAATACGTTCAGGTGATGATAGATGCCTGGGTGAAATAGGTGCATAAAGTTTTCATAAAGTGCAAGGTGGGAATTCATAGTCTTTCCAGGCAGAAGGGAGTATGAAGAACAGGAAAATACAGCTTCTGTGACAATCCTTTGCACATTTTTCACGGACCATTCCTTGCTCATAATTTTATGGTTTAGGACAAGAAAACCTGCACCTGCTTCCAGCTGTTTGTTCCGTAGTTTCCTTCTCACATTCCTCTGGTCTGTGGGGTCATTATTTATATACAATAGCAAAGAGAGTCACCACACAGAAAGGATTTCTAAGGACTGGACCGTGGCCGGTAGAGGGGAGCGATCCAAATCATTGCAGCTCCTGTGGGCTTCCTAACAAGCATTGGGGCATCCGGATGCTTGCTCCCTGCGGGGGCCCCAGGCGTGAGTCAGCAGCCGTTGTGCTGGGCGGGAAGTGGGTGGAAAGCTGTTCATGTCTGATCACTGCTAATACACGTTTTGCCCACTGTTGTCTCCCCTGCAGTCTGAGTACCACTACGAGTACACCGCGTGTGACAGCACGGGAGCCAGGTGGAGGGTCGCCGTGCCGCACACCCCGGGCCTGTGCACCAGCCTCCCCGACCCTGTCAAGGGCACTGAGTGCTGTAAGCATTCCTGCCGCTCGCCTCTGGCCTCTGCCCCGAGCCTCCTGCCATCCCAGCCAGACCCTCCCTGACAGCGCAGCTGCCTTAAGGAATCAGATCTCTCCCCGAGTTAGACCCTGGCCCCTTTGAGATTTGGTACAGAAATGCGATTTCATGGATGCAAACTGGGTATCTAAATTTGCCTTTCTTTTCTTTCTTTCTCTCTTTTTTTTTTTTTTTTTAATTTAAGCCCCATCAGGGAATAAAGTATGAGCAATTCCAGCTGTGTGCCAGTCAGCGTTTTTTTTCTGTTTGCATACATTTTCTTTTGTGCCTGTGTGTCTCTCTCCAATCTACACTCATCAGCCACAGTCAGTCATTAGGAAAAGACTGTGATGCGTTTTTGTTCTTGAAAAGGAAGCCAAAGAAGATGAATTTCTGCACAGACAGACCATTAAAATGCACTGGGCATCACTTCGAGGAATAAGGACCTTGCCCAGCCGTGGAGCTGACTGTGTGATGAGAATAGCCGTGACTTGTCTGCAGCCTGTCCCCACCTTTGCGACTCTATAGTCAGAACTTTTCTACAATTGGCAGCTATTTCCCCTCCCCTGTTCTTTCTAGAGGTGTAAAGGGATAACAACAGGGACTAGAATCAAGGAATACTCGGAGATTTGGAAAGGAGATTGAGGGCATTTTAATCTTTTTTTTTTTTAATGTTTATTTTTGAGAGACAGAGCGTGAGCAGGGGAGGGGCAGAGAGAGAGAGGGAGACACAGAATCTGAAACAGGCTCCAGGCTACGAGCTGTCAGCACGGAGCGTGACGTGAGGCTTGAACTCACTGACCATGAGATCATGACCTGAGCCGAAGTCGGACGCTCAACAGACTGAGCCACCCAGGCACCCCGAGGCATTTAAATTCTTAAAAAAAAAAAAAAGGTTACATACTGCCTGGTTCAGTTGGTGAGCAAATAAATGTTTGTTAAACTAATGAATGGATATTACTAAGATCCAAGCAGGACTGAGGTGTGACTATGGGAAATAAGCGAGCCATCTTCAGGTAACTCGCCAGCTTAATTGAGCTCCTCTATGTGCATGCACTATGAGCTGCAGAGATATATAAGGCACAGTCTCTGCCTTCAGAAGCTTAAAGCCTGGTGGAAGAAGCAGACGTTCGTTCCTCCATTCATTTTTTCAACAAAACTTTGTGGAGCCCCTGCTATGTCTGTGCCAGTCACTGAGCCAATGTTCCTGGAGGAGCTCAGAGCCTAGTGGCAGGCACACGTCAGTACGATGTGTTCATGTGAGATGACAAGGAACAGGAGGTACGGATGCTTGGGGCTCAGGAACAGCTGGGGGAACTACTCGGGCAGAGGTTTGCAGGTGGAAGAACACCGGACACATTCAGGGAAGAACATGTGGTCTGGGGTGGAGGCAGCGCAAGGAAGGTGACGGCATCAGATGGGGCTGCAGTGGAGAAAAGCCTGCAACAAGAGATTAAGCTGGAAAGTTAGGCTGAGGGAAAATCACGGAAGACTTTGAATGCCTGGCTGAGAGCTTAGATTCTACAACCCAAGGGCAGTGCCTGATGATCTTTTAAATAAAAGGAATGATAAGACATATCCGTGTTTTTGAGAGATACCTCTGGCCACAGAATGAGCAAAAGCAAGAAACAGGGAACTGGTTAGGAGGACACTGTAATCGTTGAGCTAACAGCCACAAGAATCCCAACCAGTATGGTGGCAGCGGCACCAGAAAGGAGACAGAAACAGAGACCCGGGGAAATTCATGGCTGAAAGGGCTGGGCACCATTCAGAGAACCGTGGTATCCTCTGCTGGAGAGCTCTCAGAATGGCCAAGGCTTTCCCTCAGGAAACAGAACCATCAGGGACAAGTCTTTCACTAAAGCAGAGCTACTGCAGCCCTAAATTTTATTTTTTAAGATAACAGCTTTATTGAAATATAATTTCTATGCCATGAGGGTCACCCCCTGGAAGTGTAAAGTCCAGTTTTTAGAATATTCACAGTTGTACAACCACTATCTAACTTCACAATATTTTCATCACCCCCAAAAGAAGCATCATATCCATGGACAATCTCTACCCACGTCCCCTCCCCCAAGTCGCCGGCACCATAGATCTGCTTTCTATCTCTGTGGATTTTCTTATTTTGGACTTTCCATATAACAGGAATCGTATAAAATGTGCTAAATCAGGGTGGGTCAAACTTCTGGATCTTGATCCTCTGCTCCTCTCTTTAGGGTGCCCACAGGCTGCCTACTCCTTCTGGTGGCAGCGGCCTCACCACCCCACCCTTGTTCTTTCTCTGTGTTCCAGCCTTTTCGTGCAAAGCCGGGGAATTTCTGGACATGAAGGACCAGTCCTGCAAGCCATGCGCTGAGGGCCGCTACTCCCTCGGCACGGGCATCCGGTTTGACGAGTGGGATGAGCTGCCCCACGGCTTTGCCAGCCTCTCAACCAACATGGAGATCGAGGACACCACCACTGAGTCCACGGAGAACTGCACCGCGTGAGTGCCCCCATAGTCCCCTCCCCTGTGCTGGGCCAGAGAGGATGGAAACCGGGGAGCCAAGCCGCCAAGGGGTAGGCTGGAGCGGCGTCCCACCCGACTGTTGGACATGACGCCCACCTCAGCCCTCTCTTACTGTTCCGAGCTGACCAGTGACTGACCGGCCCTGGTGAGAGGTAAAGACCGGGGAAACAGAGAGGGGTGAAGATGGTGGATAAAGGCTAAATGGCCCAGTCCACTTAAAACAAAACCTAACTGGACTTCTGCAATGGGATTTAGGATCAGCAATAAACTTCCTCGACTTGATTGCAACGTGAAGCGCTAGGAGTGTTCCTGGCTTTGGTGCTAACTTCTAAAACTGGTCAGCCCAACCCGAGTTTCTAGGTTTGAGGGGGGACAGCCTAGGGCCAGATCTTTGGTCAGTGGTGGGTGGGATCTTCTGAACTGCTTGAGACCCTGGTGACCAGAAAAAAAAAAAAACCTAGCACAGAAGGAGATCTTTTCAGTACTTGAAAGGCTCGGCCCCCCGTGCTTGAGTAACTGGTAAGTGATCCTTATCAGATCTTTAGATATTTAATTCCAGGGACAGGAATTAAATGATGTGCCTTCTATGTGTCAGGCACTCTTCTGGATGCTTTACATATATTACTTTCTATGATTCTCTCAAAAACCCTCTGAAATTGATATTATTATTTCCTTTACACAAATGAGGAATTGGAGGCTTAGCAAGGTTAAGTGACTTGTAGGCAGAGAAGGACAAATATCATATGTTTGCACGTATAGGAGGATTAGGAGGAACTTGACGGAGGAACAAGGAGGAGAAGAAGGGCGGAAATGGTGGGGGAAAGGGAGAGAGGCAAACCATGAGAGACTCTTGAATGCTGACAAAAACTGAGGACTGATGGATGTGGGGGGGAGGGGGGAGGGGCATAGAGGAGGGCACTTGTGGGGATAAGCACTGGGTGTTATGTGGAAACTAATTTGACAATAAACTATTTGTAAAAAAAAAAAAGTTATTACTAAATAAACATCCCATCTTAAAACCAAAAAAAAAAAAAAAAGAAAAGGTTAAGTGACTTGTCCTTTGTTACTCAGCTTAGAACTGGTGATACTGGAATTCAAACCCAGTCCTAAGTTCTCTACTGCCCCGCGAAGCCACCCTCAAGTAACATTTAGTGTACGCAAGGCGATGTCGGGCCCTGGGGAGGGCCAGTGGAAGGATGGGTAGATACTCTGTGTTAAATATTAACAAGTAAGATGGGAGAAAAGTACATGAAAGTTTCTCTTATAAACCCAAGTAATCAAAAGGATAAAAGGAGTTAATAATTGTTTACACTGGGTTTCTAAACCGGGGACCAATGTCTCCGTTCCTACTCTTAAATAGAAGTACCATTATTGGAGCCAGGCAACAGGCATTTTACAGTCCAATTTTAATGTCACTTTAGGGTTTAATATCATGTGTCAAAATCATTGGCATGACAACATCAGCAGCAGAGATAAAGCCAGAGAGGATTAAAGCTGAAAGGAGACCCATTTGCGTCCTAATAGAGAATGTGATTGACTCCCCCCCACACACCCAACAAGGTGCAGGCCTGACTCACCCAATCGATTGTTACCCGCTTGAAGAAAGGGTTTGTCTCTCTCTGGGGACCTCACCGAGAGTCCAGAAATCATTACCTCTCAGCAAGACAGGATGTCGGCCCGTTAATAACAACTTGTGTTTCCACAGCACACACTGCTTCTGGGCCTGGATCCTAAGGCATCAGAAGACCCTGGGAGGGGAGAGAGAATGTTTCTCCTCTGTAGAAACGGAGAGGAAACGGCCACCTAGAGAGGCTTTGTGGCTTTCTCAGCACCCTCAGAAAGGCAATAATTGAGCTAGTACCGAGATATTCACCCGAACCCACGCCCACTGCCTCCAACCTGAGCAGAGCCAGCCCCCCCCCCCCCCCCCGCCCCGCCCTGGTTCTGCCTCCGGTGCCCCCAGCTAGTCTCGGCCTCTACTCCAGCCTCTGCAGGCCACTGGCCGCCAGCAGCCAGACCGATTTTCTTAAGACACAAGTCCAACCACTGTACTTCCCTGCTCAAAACTCCGGATTCTATGGATTCCCGTTGCTTTTGGAATAAAATCCAATACCTTGCCACAGCCTGCATGGCCTGCGTGGTCTAGCCTTGGCCTTCTGCCCATTTCTCCAGCTTTGCCCAAGTATCTTCCTACTGGGTTACTATGCTCCAGCCACGCTAGCCACCATGCTCCTTCCTTCCTGGGTCATACTCTTCTCCAGCCCTTCTGGCTCACTCCTGATTCACCCTCAGGTCTCTGCCTGAATGTCACTTCCTGGGAGGTGCTGGCTCTGACCCTGTAGATTCCCATCACATACACACTCTTGCACCATCTTGTATTTCTCCTTATGACACTTATCAGATTTATTACTACGTGATTAATTGTGCAGTTAGTTAAGTTTCCTAATCACTTCCATGCCTCGATTTCCTCATCCTAAAAAAAAAAAGCAAAAAAACCATAGTGTTAAAAAATGGTATTCTTCTTATAGGTTATGGTAAGGATTAAATGAGATGGTCCGTATGAAGAATTTGGAGCAATCCCTGGCACTAGAAGTCAATCAACACATGTTGTTATTATTGAATGTGAAATGATCTTCACCAGAGACAACTCTGATAAATCCCAGAATCGTGATGCCCTGTGCAAATGTAGCCCACTTACGGCATCCTTTTAATTATTCATCTCACTTTAGGAGTTATTTATAGAGGATGCCATGGAGTACATCAGCATGAAGCATCTCTTTTCGCAGGAGAAATCAATACCATTAGATTAGCTGGGGTGTCTGGGATGAGCTCAGTTTGGGTATTTTGGATATGCTTGTATTTGAGAATAACACTATTGTTTTTAATGTTTATTTATTTATGTTAGGAGAGAGAGTGAGGGAGGAGCAGAGAGAGAGGGAGAGACAGAATCCCAAGCAGGCTGTCAGGGCAGAGCCCAATGTGGGGCTCGATCTTACAAACCCTGAGATCATAACCTGAGCTGAAATCAAGAGTTGGACGCTTAACCAACTGGGCCATCTAGGCGCCCTGAGAGTAACACTACCTATTAAAGAACTTGAGGGGCGCCTGGGTGGCTCAGTCGGTTGAGCATCTGACTTCGGCTCAGGTCATGATCTTGTGGTTCTTGAGTTTGAGCCCTCCATGGGGCTCTGTGCTGACAGCTCAGAGCCTGGAGACTGCTTTGGATTCTGTGCCTCCCTCTCTCTCTGTCCCTCCCCTGTTTGCTTGTGCGCCCGCACACTCTCTCTCTCTCAAAAATAAATAAACATTTAAAAAAAGAAAGAAAGAACTTGAAATATATGTTATTCTAACAAACACAGGGGAAAAATAGTGGACTACTTTAAGGACCCCTTGATAATAATTAATAATTATTAATAATTATTGTTAATAATTGCCTGGGCTGGTCTCAGGCAAAACAATGAAATAGTGGGATTATCTTTGGTCACCATTTTCTACATTAATCTATATAATCCTGAGTCCCTCCTATGTGCCAGGCATAGGGCTTGGTGCTGAGGCTACATTAGTGAGCAAGACAAGTTTGGTCTCTGCCCTTACAGTGTCTGTAAGCCAGCCAGGAAGATAGACAATTAAAGAATTAGGATATGGTCAGAAGAGGGGACATTTGGGTGACTCAGTTGATTGAGCATCTGATTTTGGCTCAGGTTATGATCCCAGGGACATGGCATGGGATTGAGCCCATGTGTTGGGCTCTGTGCTGAGCGTGGAGCCTGCTTAAGATTCTCTCTCTCTCTCTCTCTCTCTCTCTCTCCCCTTCTCCCTCCCCCTCCCTCTGCTGCTCATGCACTCTCTATCAAAAAAAATATATATATATAATCAGAAGAGGAAGCTGAACTGAAAATAAAGAAAAGATGCTCAACCTCACTAGTAATCAAAGAAATAAGATTTAAAGCCCAAAGAGACACTATCTCCTGCCCTATCACACTGGCAACAACTTTACGAATTTGGGGAGGGTATGGAGCAACAGGAACGCTCTCACATGCTGGTGGGTGCAAGTTGGTAGCAACTACTTTGGAGAACAGTGTGGCAGGAGCTGGGAAAGCTGGAGGTTCATGCGCCCTCTGACCCAGTGGCTGTTCTCCCACCATCTCCCTCAGACATGCGTACAAGGAGCGGAGCAAGAATGTTCCTAACGGAGTGGGTACAATGGCAAAACACTGGAAACAATCTAAAAGTCCATCAATGAGTAACGGGTAAATAACTATGGTAGAACCATGCAAGGCAATGTTAGATACTAGCAGAAACGAAAACAAGAGCTCTATGTGTGAATGGGGATGGGTCCCATAATCATTGTACTGAAACAAACAAAAAAAAGTAAGTTTCAACACACATAAATATGATACCATTTACATGAGGTCTGAAAACATGCAAAAACCATGATCGTAGGGCATATTGTTTAGAAATACATGCATAATTATTAAAGGATAAAGAACCATGTGCGGATGGTAAGCACCATACTCAGGGAAGTTGTTACTTGGCTGAAAGAAGCAGGTGGTAGTCAGGGGTTTGAGATTAGCTGGGTGAACACCCAGGCTCCTGCTCTACTGTATTTCTTAAGCAGGGTGGGGGCTTAAATCTTGCATGTGTGCAAGAGAAGTAGAGGGGAGTTATTAGTGAGAGCTCAGGGCACAAATAGCAGAGGCCAGTAGAGTCAAGGGGGACTTCTTAGATGAAGTGGCATTTATTCTAAGTCACAAGGAGGAATTAAACAGGGGGAGGGAGGAGGTAGTTTGTTCTAAGAAGAGTGAACAGCAGGTGAGAACACCCAGGGGGAGGGAGAGCTTGGCAGAGGGAGTGAAAGAAATGCTGCCGGTCTGGAGTCTAGAAGGTTCTGTGGCCTCCTTCTTCCCAGTTCCCATGCAGCATCGAAAAGTGGGCATTTCCAGAAAAATGGGTGGGATAGATTGCATGGACTCCTGATTTCTGAAGACCAGCAGTGTCTGCTAAATTTCTTTGACAGCTTTGGAATTAGGAAGACCTGGGTTTGAATCTCAGCCCTGCCACTTGCTGGCTCTGTGATATGGGGCAAGGTACTCGCCGAGCCTCAGTTTCACCATCCATTAAATGGTAATGAAAGGAAATCATGAATATAAAACATGTAGTTCAGTACCTGGGACATCGTAAGCAACTGATAAATGTTACCCAGCTCCCCCTCCCAACACCTGCCATCTATCTTCTGGATCATTCTGCATAATGTGGGGGGCACACCTACTTGTCTTCCTCATGTCGGCTCCATCTCCAGTCTCCTTGATCTGGAGGGTTTTCTTCACTGGGGACGTTCGTGTCTAAATTCCTGTTTGTGAATCACAAGTCTGGAATTCCACAGACACCCAGCGGGACACGAGACCTGCAATTCCCACAAAGCATAATGGGCTGTGTGATTGCCAGTGAACTTGGCTCCTGTTCCCTCACAGGTCCAAGTGGGTTCCCCTGGGTGACTACATCTCCTCCAACACGGACGAATGCACAGCCACGCTGATGTATGCTGTCAACCTGAAGCAGTCTGGCTCCGTCAACTTCGAGTACTACTACCCAGACTCCAGCATCATCTTCGAGTTTTTTGTAAGCCCCTGGCCATGGGGGAGCTGGGGGGTGAAGACTCTCCAAGTCTCAGAATCACAAGCATATTTCTGGTTTCGGATTTCCCACAGTTGTCTTCCTTCTGGAGAGAACTGTGGACAAAATGGGCTGAGGCTTCAAGACATGGGGAGAAAGGCAGAAGTTGGGAGGCTCTGCAGGGGCAGAGTAGGGTCCAGGAGACCCTAGGCATTCTGCCTGCTCACACATGAAAACAGCATGTAAAAGCTTCTGACTTATGAGTTATTTTTTCAGTGTTGATGCATTGACTTAAAAATTTTTTTTAATGTTTATTTATTTTTGAGAGAGAAAGACAGAGTATGAGCAGGGGAGGGGCAGAGAGAAAGGGAGACACAGAATGTGAAGCAGGCTCCAGGCTCTGAGCTGTCAGCACAGTGCCTGATGTGGGGCTTGTACTCACAAACCATGAGACGCATGATCTGAGCCAAAGTCAGATGCTTAACCAGCTGAGCCACCCAGGAGCCCCTGCATTGACATTTTGTGTGTATTACTAGCTCTCGCCCTGCTTCAGGACTCATGTGTTCTGAGCTCAGCCCCCAAAGGAAGCTGGGTACCCTTCTCCCATAAGAAGGGCCCTCTGGAAGGCTGTTGCAGCACGGAAGAGTGGGGGGTGAAAAACTCACTTTCTTGGAAAGCTTTGACTGTTCCCAAACTCTTGTGGGCTCAGGTTCAGAATGACCAATGCCAGCCCAATGTGGATGACTCCAGGTGGATGAAAACCACAGAGAAAGGATGGGAATTCCACAGTGTGAGTATCACACCAGCCTTCCTGGAGCCTTTCCTGGGGATACCAGAAAAGGGGGCAAGGGCTTTTCCTCCAAGGACAGTTTCCTCCCAGTCTGGGCTTCCAACCATCAGTCCCTAGAGAGCAGGGGTCTGACAAGATGAGGATGCCATCGTTTCTGTCGTCTTGAGTTGACAGAATGTGGGTGTGGGCTGACTTATTCTCATGGCTCTACCTCCAAGGACCAGCAACTTTGCAGGGTTAAGGGCCAGGTCTTCTGGGGTTGGGACATGGATACACAGAACCAGAGAAGAGTGAGGGACTTCATTCACCCTCCTGTCAGCACCTTCAGGCCCCTCCATGGGTCTTACTTGGAGATACTCGTAGTATATGTGGGTGAAGGAGAGGCCATGAAGGTTGTAAGAGGAGCCTTCAAAGCAGAGAGGAGCTAAGTTGAACTGGGAGGAAGGGCAGAGCTGAGGAAGTCAATGGAGGGGATCAGAAGAGGTGCCTCCACGCAGACGGTAAGGGGAAGATTCTCCAGAAGAGGCGAATCTGATGGATTAGGGATATCTGTCTCTGCAGCTGAACGAATTCTTTTTGTTTACGGTTTCTAGGTCGAGCTAAACCGAGGCAATAATGTCCTCTATTGGAGAACCACAGCCTTCTCGGTGTGGTCCAAAGTTTCCAAGCCCGTGCTGGTGAGAAACATCGCCATAACAGGTACCAAGGAGGATTTGGGTCTGGGGTCTGCTGCTGATTTCCTAACTCTGTGGGGGGCCGGTGGGGACCAGTCCCCGGGGCTCAGTCTCTAGGCTCAACGGTTGCTTTTCTTTGTTGTTCGTCCTCCCTAGGGGTGGCCTACACTTCAGAATGCTTCCCCTGCAAACCTGGCACATACGCAGACAAGCAGGGCTCTTCTTTCTGCGAACTTTGCCCAGCCAACTCTTACTCAAATAAGGGAGAGACTTCCTGCCACCAGTGTGACCCTGACAGATACTCAGGTGATGTTTCTGAGGGTGGGTAGAGTTTGGGGGCGGGGGGAGTAACCAACAAACGTGGGGAGAAAACAGGAAGGAGAGCCATCCCTCTGGCCATGCTGGAGACGATGCTTCTTAAACCCTCGCTTCTGGACACTGGAAGAGCCTTGTGGATCCACACTCCACTGATCACTCTGGAAACAAGAGTAAAATCATCCAACAAGTAATTACTGAGCCCCTACTATGTGCCAGGTCCTATTCTAGGTGCTTGGGATATACCGGCGAGCAAAATCGACAAAGCTCCCTGTCTTCATGGAATTTACATTCTGATGGGGGGGGGGGGCGCAGAGGGAGGCAGGCAATAAACAGTAATGCTAATAAATATATAATAAATTATAGTATGTTAAGACAGTAAAATGTACAGGGTGCTGTGGCAAAAAGAAAAAGCAACTCAGGACTACAGGAATTGGGAAAGCTGGAGAAAGGGGCTGCAGTCTTTCTATATTTTTCCTAAGCAGTGAAATTTGTAGAAACGAAACCTTATATAAGATTATAGTTGGGGCTCCTGGGTGGCTGAGTCAGTTGAGCATCCAACTCTTGATTTCGGCTCAAGTCACGATCCCATGGTTTATGGGTCCGAACCCGACGTCCCACTCTGTTCTGACTGTGGAGCCTGCTTGGGATTTCCTCTCTCTCTTTCTCTCTCTCTCTTCCTCTCTCTGCCTTCACCCCCCGCACTCATGCTGTCTCTCTCAAAATAAATAAACATTAAAAAAAGATTATAGTTATACATAATAGATACAGTAACTAAAAGGTATATGTTTGTATATTTTAATTCATAACAATTATTATCAAAGTTAATTTAGAAGAGCCGTGAGGCTGTATTAATGAGCAAAACATTTTGATAGCAAGGGCTAAAGATGGAAGTTTTTATCAGCCTGACCATCCACTGAATTCAAAGGAGGCCTTTTCAGGAAATCCAGGATTCCTTGGAACATAGTTTAAAAGCCAGCGTTCTGAGGGAAAATAAGGGGACAGGCGTAGCAGCCTGTTGCTAGTCTCTGAGTAGCTTCCTAAAACATCGCAACTTGAGAAACAGAACCTGGTCATTTGAGGGAGTCCCAGGGCAGCAGGGCTGTGGTGTAAGGGGGCAGTCCCCCCAGAGGACCCTCTGCTGAGGCAGCCCAGGCATTGGCATAGGGGCCAATCTCTACGGTTCTAAACAACTCGGGAGGGAGAAAGAGTCCCTTCACTCTCCCTACAAACACATAATTATTCCATTTTCCCTTTCTCACCCGGATTCACACACCCGGCTCAAGTCTCTCTCTCAAGCAAACAACTCAAACCCATCCACAGACACACCCATCAGCAGGTGTTACACTTGTGTTTGCTCGGCCAAGACGAGCCACTGACCATGTGAACAGCTTATTTTTACACTATTCCTAACACAACAGTCTTATTTATCTACACAGATCTTGCCACATGAGTATAGTTTTCAGCAAGAACAGGAATGTTGAGATCTTGAGGGAAGTTTTTAATCCGTCTGTCTAAATTCCTGTTTTTCCACTTGGCGTTTCTCATTCTCCTTCCCTGCTCTATCAATGGCAGCCTTTGTTGGTCGTAGTCTCCAGCTGCCTTTCCAGCCCAGCAGCTGTACAAGGGTTTGAATGGCAAGGTGGCTCTCAAGAAACCGCCTGGGAATGTTCTGATCAACTCTGTATATAAACTGATTGTCATCCAGACAGCAGTTATGAAAGTGTTGGGAGTTCGGTTGGGAGTTTGAGTTTTTGATCCTTTGCCATCAAGTTCTCAATCTATCTCTTTGACTGGAAAGTGAGTTTTTACAATGACTTGAGTTTTCCAGAATACACGGTCAAGGCAAAGAGAGAGTATGTGTGTGTGTGATCATAGCCTTTGATGGACTGTGCATAAAGGGAGTGTCGGAAGACCCTGTGAGCATTTAGTCATCCATTTACAACTAAGTCCTGAGTGCCTGCTAGGTGCCAGGGCTTGCGCTTGGTGCCAGAGTTGGAGCTGGTGCCTACCCTCTACCTTACTTCGGAAAGTGGGAACGTCCGTATACCCATGGTGCAGTAGCTGCTGGGATCGCAGCTCTGAGTGTAGCGCACAGCAGAGGCAAAGAAGAGAAGTAGTCAGTCCTTTCTGCGGTGACAGGAAAGGCTTCAGTGGCTGTGGTCTTGAAAGAGGAGTTGGTGATTTGATGGATGTTCTAGAAGAAGCGTAGCCAAAGCCAGAAGGCTTGGGGATCATGGAGAAACTCAGCATGGCAGGAACTGACTTGGAGAGAACCAGCATCCAGGGCTAAGAGGTGGACAGGCAGCAGGCCATCCACCAGCCCTTCTGTGCCATTGCTAAAGACTTGAGATTTGATCCTAATAGAAGGAGTGGGGGGAGGGGGGAGTGTGTGTGTGCAGGGGGGCCATTGAAGAATTTTAAGCTGGGGAGTGACATGATCCGGCTTGTGATTTTGAAAGACCACTCTAGCTGCCATTTGGAAAATGGATGTGGAATGAATGGAGCAGCTGGAGGCAGAGGCCACAGTCCAGAGATTTTGCAACAGGCATCATTGCTGGTATCCAGGACCTAGACTTGGGTGGAACTAATGGGACTGCACCTGTTAAGGACAAAGGCTCAACTAAAAGCATCTTTCTTATTGATACCTAAGATTCGATCATTAAGATGAATTCCTTTGTGTTACATTTACTATTAGGGATTCATTTCCTAGTAGTACTTGGGGTCTAAGAAAGAGCATGGATTGGGGCGCCTGGGTGGCTTAGTCGGTTAAGCGTCTGACTTCAGCTCAGGTCATGATCTCGCAGTTCGTGGGTTCGAGCCCCACGCCGGGCTCTGTGCTGACTGCCAGTTCAGAGCCTGGAGCCTGTTTCAGTCTGTGACTCCCTCTCTCTCTGACCCTCCCCTGCTCACGCTGTCTCTCTCTCCTTCTCTCCTAGAAATAAATTTAAAAAAAAAAAAACATTAAAAAAAAAAAAAAGAAAGAAAGAGCATGGACTCCAGAACTAAATTACTAAGGTTCAAATCCCTGCTCCACCACCTCTGCCATCTGCGCAAGTCCCTTGTCTCTGCCTCAGTTTCCTCATCTATAAAATGAGAACGGCAATAATCCTATCTACCTCATAGTGTTATTATGTGGATCATTTGATTACTACATATAAAGGATTTAGAACAGTGTCCAGCAGGTAATAAACACGAATTTTATCACAGCTGACCCTTGAACAACATGGGGACAAAGGCTGCCAACCCCCCAAAAAGGAAAAAATCCGCATATAACTTTTGAGTCTCCAGAAACTTAACTACTAATGACTGGAAGCCTTACTGCTAGCAGAAACAATTGATCAACACGTATTTTGTATGTTCTGTGTATTATATACACTATTCTTACAATAAAAAGAAGCTGGAGGAAAAACATTATTAAGAAAACCACAAGGAAATCTACTCCTGAAATCATTGTTGCACCATATGCTAACTAACTTGCATGTAAATTAAAAAATAAATAAACTTTTAATTTAAAAAGAAACAGAAAGCCACAAGGAAGAACAAATATATTTACAGTACTGCACTGTATTTATATATTAAAAAAAAAAAATCCCAGTCCACGTACAAGTGGACCTGCCCGGTTCAAAGCTGTGTAGTTCAAGGGTCAACTGTGTTCATTTCCATTAAGGCTAGTCCTGGCTGTCTTCTCTTAATATGAAAGTACTCTTAGCATAGGTAACAACAATAACACGTCACTTGGATAGTACTTTGCAATTTACTAGACATTTTCTCATGTATTACAGAGGAGTGCAGGACTGATCTCCCTGTTTATAAATGAATAAAGGGCAGCACAGAGAGGTTGAGGGATTTGCCCAGAGTCTGCAGTGGGGTCTGACCTGGGCCAAGCATTCATTAGATGCTTGAACCTTCAGGGGAAATGTTTTCCTGTGATGAAGTGGATCTGGATAAGACGTTGTACTCCTAGATGTGGGGAGAAGGTCCTGGAAGGTGGCAGGAGGCTCAGAGAGAGAAACTGGAGCCCCCATGATAACTTTATCTTCTTACAGTTTTGCCATGAGGCCAATGCTACAGGAATCACTTTTCACTCCCTCACCGACCATCTAGGCAGATCTTTCAAGCTTGACTAGTACTCAGCTTAAACACTCTGATGAATCCTGAGCTAGGGAAGTGAGGCCCGTCGCAGCATTTGGGTTAATCATTTCTTAAAACTACCTTAGCAGTTGTCAGTGTGTAAACAGGTGGACCCTTTTTGCGGAAACCTGGAGCTAGGGTATCAGGTTGAGCAAATATTTGACAAGCAGAGAAAGGTCCTTGTGCAGAATATACTTTCTACCATATAATTTGCAGTTTGCTAGACCAAATATGCAAGGTCCTGGGAATTGGTGTGTTTTCAGCATCTCCCCCCAAATTTCTCCTGGTCCAGTTTGTCAAAAGCAGGAGTCCCTAGATCCCTCTGTGCTGAATGAGGCCTTCTGCTTGTTAGCCAAGCCAATGAGCTGAGAAGACTCCAGCTGTTTCTCAGGCAGTATTTCCCTCTTGCCCAGACTAATAAGACGGGGACAGAAGAGGTGTGGGAATGTGTGGTTGAGGAAGCTTCCAGTGTAGGCCAAGGAGGCTGTAACTAGGAGATTCTCTGGTCTAGGAACTCATTTGGTGCCTTGGAAAGAAGAAAGTATCAGTTGAGAAATAAGCCTTCACTGGGAAAGAGAGAAAGAAACTCTCAATTCTTGTTTAAAATTCCATGACAATTTCAGATAGGAATCATTCACACAAACCCAGGTAATAATAGTTACCAGCATTTAGTGAGTCCCTACTTACGAAGTGCCAGGGATATGCTGGCTCCAGGAAGGTGGATATTTTTATTCCTGCTCTACAGATGAGAGCACTAAGACTCAGAGAGTTTCAGTAACTTGACTGAAGTGACACAGCTGCTAAATGAAGCAGGATCTGGGGCGCCAGGGTGGCTCAGTCGGTTAAGTGTCCAACTTCGACTCAGGTCATGATCTCACAGTTCATGGGTTCCAGCCCCGCACTGAGCACTGTGCTGACAGCTCAGAGCCTGGAGCCTGCTTCGGATGCTGTGTCTCCCTCTCTCAGCCCCTCCCCCACTCACATTCTGTCTCTCCCTCTCTCAAAAATAAACATTAAAAAAATTATTTTTAGTGAATAAATGAAGCAGGAACCAAACCCAGTTCTGTCTAACTTAAAATCTCACTCCACTCTATCACACAGCCTGTCAAGTAACATACAGAGAGAGGAGGGCTCGCTTGTATTAAATGCTTACCTGCAGGTGACAACAGTCACTGTAGAAATGGTGGAGACGGGAATAGTGGTAGTGTTGTACTGGCACTCTATAAAGCTGTGGTTTTTATTGGGGGGTAAGTAAAGTCCCTGGAAAATTTTTAAAAATTATTTGCATAAATTATGTATATTTTTCTGGGTGGAGGAAACAGGTCTTTTTACAAATTTTCAACGTGTTTGTAATTCAGAAAAGGGGAAATTCATTGCTTCAAAGAGGTATACGCTAAACTAGTTCTTGCTATCCAGGTACTCACAAGTTAAAGCAGAACTGACATAGAGTAGAATAAATAAAATGATAGTTAAGACCTTTTTTATTAGGAACAGGTCAAGACTTAGAGATGGCACCAGGATGCTTGGGGGTGGGGAGAGTGGAAGGAGCTCGATGTCTTTTTTTTTAACGTTTATGTATATTTGAGAGTGAGTGAGCGCAAGCAGGGAAGGGGCAGAGAGAGACACACACACAGAATCTGAAGCAGGCTTCAGGTTCTGAGCTGTCAGCACAGACCCAACATGGGGCTCAAACTCACAATCCGTGATAACATCTAAGAGCTCTGTCTTAAGTAGAGTTGGAAGAAATGACCAGCTCATTTGTGTAAGATGGTTGCATAGAAAGGGGGAAACGGGAGGCGGGTTTCAGGAACTTATGTTAGCGGTGGTTAACCTGTAAGATGCTCTTTCCAGCTTCTCGCCCTCCTCACTGGTCCCCTGGCCAGTCCCCTTCCCACTGCCCTTTCCCACAGTGTGGACCCAGTGGCTTCTTATAGCACTAGGGAGAGGTGCAAAGAGGGTATCTGAGCAGGGCTTCAGCGGCCAGAAGTGAAGCAAAGTGAAGAGTGGGTATGCAGGATTTTCTACTCCTCTCAGTACCTGTGTTGTGCTGGACCTCAGGGTCCTGGAGGTCACAGGGTCACGAGCAAGTGGGCAAGAGCTCTGCTTTCTTATAGAACTTCAACTCTTTGTCCTCACTTTTGCAATTTAGAAAAAGGATCCTCCTCCTGCAAAGTACGCCCAGCCTGCACAGACAAAGACTACTTCTACACTCACACAGCCTGTGATGCCAACGGAGAGGTGGGTAGCGTGGTCTTGGAGCCCCTTTGTCCCAGAGAGTTCCGTTGCCAGTTCCTTGGGCTTTACCACATCTGGAGTTCCAGAGGTCAGCAAAGCTGGCAGCAGAGAAAACCCACAGACCTCCACAGTGACCCTGGGGCCGAGGGGGGAGGCCAAACAAGACGGCCTCATTCATTTTCAGGTCAGAGACTCGTTTTTGCCCTATTTGTTCCGCTGCTTATTCACATATGCTCTGTTGCAAAAGAGCCATTTCATTTTCTTTTGCTTGGTTTCTTCCATTTGCTTAGCCCCTCTGGGCAATGACTGCCTGTCTGCGCACACTTATTTCCTCATGGAACTCGTCAGACTCGTCCCTTCGGTGCTGCTTTTGTGGGCCAGCGAAGGGAATGGATTCCTACTTCCTGGCTCGCTGGAGAATGGCCTGACTGTTTGGTCTCTGCTGGTCCCCTCTTTCCCCCAGGCTTTCTGCCTCAGAAAGACTTTCCTTTGTAGTCCACATGACCACTGAGTCAGCATTGATGACCGTGGGTGGTGCTCCAGTGGGGGGTGACAGATGTGCCTGCCCTCAGGGACCTCGCAGTCCTAAGAGAGAGGGTGAGGGAGGAGAGCAGGGCCTGGGCAAAGCAAGAAGAAAGATGTGCAGGGTCCTGGGAGAAACCAGGAGAGGAGTAACCAGGACTGGAGGGTCTGGGAAGGCCTTTCGGAGGTTATGTGTTCATTTCAACAGTCAGTCATGGTGCTAAGTGTGTTAACCAAACGGGGAGAACATCTACTCTCATGGGAACTAATTCTTGCTAGGGAGCAAGTGGAGAGGGAGAGAGACAGACAACAGATAAACAATAAATTAGACTGTATCAGTAAGTGGAGGAAAAAAAAATAAAGGATGAGGAGACAGAGAATGACAGAGGGTGGGGATACTACTATTTTAGAGAGGGCTGGGATGACATTTGAGGAGGTGGTGTTTGAACAGAGACCTGAATGAGATGAGTGGGGGCCCCAGTGCTTTTCAGGCACAGGCACAGCAGGTATGGAGGGGGCAGACTTGTGCCTAGTGAAGTCGAGGAACAGCAGTGAGCGAGCTGAGATGGCTCTGCGGCACAAGTTGAGGGATTTGTCTTAGATTAGACATTCTAGATGAGTTGTCTGCGTCTGTATCCCTAAATCACAGCCTCTCAGGAAGAGAGAAGGAGAAGCTGGGAAATCTGCATTCAGCATTAAGCATGTGCTTGGCTGTTAGGATGCATAAGCGTTTGCTGGCTGGATGGCTGGATAAATTTTCCTTTTGCCAGATAAGCACGGGATAAAGTCTGGTCCTTAGCAGTGGCTGTTTTTCATAATCATCTCCTACTCCCCACCCTCCCCCACCCCTGCCTTCATGTGTAGAGCATCATTCCCTTGCCCAGCAGCCAAGGGAGAATGGCTACACATATCATCAGTTGTACCTCACATTCAGTTCTGCAGTGCCTGGGGTTCTCTGTGACCTTGAAAAACCTATTTTCATTTTATTGGCATCATTTGACTCACTAATTAGATGAGAACACTTAATCCTGCTCCTCTTCTTCCTGGTTGGCACAACATATGGCTGGATGTGGCTCTTTGCTTCCTTCTGCCCCAGGCTCTCCCCTCCCAGGCTCAGGCCAAGGTCCTCTGGATCTGTAGTAAGCTCTGTTGCCTGCCAGCCTGGCTGTCTGCCCTTGCCTTTGGATGCTCAGTAGGGCTCAGTAGTGCTCCGCCTTAGTAGCCCAGCTAAGGCTCAGGAGGGGAGCCCTGAAGCATGAGTGCACACGAACATGGGCTCATCATGAATGCTTTACAGAACTCTTGTGATCTGTGCTTCATGCCCGCACTGGTTCTGCTCAGTCTCATGATTTTACTTTGTCTTCTATAATTTTTTAATGTTTATTCATTTTTGAGAGAGAGAGAAAGGGAGAGCAAACCAGGGAGGGGCAGAGAGGGAGACAGAGAAACAGAAGGAAGCTCCAAGCCATCAGCACAGAGCCCAACGTGGGGCCTGAACTCAGCACACAGCGAGTTCATGACCTGAGCTGAAGTTGGATGCCTAAACAACTAAGGCACTCAGGCGCCCCTTACTGGGTCTTCTAAACTGTAATTTTTAAAACATTTTTTAAAATTTATTTATTTTGAGAAAGGGAAAGAGAGAGCACATGTGGGGGAGGGATAGAGAGAAGGAGAGACAGAATCCCAAGCAGGCTCTGCGCCATCAATGGCAGAGCCCATTGTGGGGCTTGAGCTCACAAACTGTGAGATTATGACCTGAGCTGAGACCAAGAGTCAGACACAAAACCGACTGCCCTGCCCAGGTGCCCCTAAAATGTATTTTTAAATTAAGGGATGTAACTCGAGCCAACTCTCGTGATTGCCCTTGTGGCCTTTGCTGTGCCGCAGTGGCCTTTGCTGTGCTGCAGTGGTTTCTCAGAGACCAGGTTGGCCAATCCACTGGGGCTGCTGCATGTGCTGCTCTAAGGGACCGCCCAAGTCAGTCTTCCTGCTCCCATACCCTTCTCTCCATGAGACTCAAGTGAGAGCGCCCAGGTCAGAGCACAAGCCTAGGGCTCTGGCGGTTGGCTGCGCTTCACAGGGAGGAATCTCTTCACGGCCAAACAGATCAGGGGGAAGAAGAGCCCTAGCACTCACCATCAGTGAAGGCAGCACAGGTTCTTTTTAAGACTTGTCATTTCTTATCCTGAATAAAATGGACAGATGCCTTATTCATCCACCTTTTCACATATATGGTAGTGCTGCACGTCATCACATCAGTATAATCCACAAAAGTACATTTTGTCTCTGCCTCAGCCCAAGGACTACACAGGAGGCTTGGAGCTGCAGGCCATCCCCTCTTCTGTATCGAGGCCTCCATCAGAAGAGTAGGGGTGGCCCTAGTGAATGACAGACACATGCTTCCCTTGCCCACTGATCTGATGGCTGATCATTCCTCCTCCCTCCTCTCACCAACTTTATTGCGATGTAATTGACATATAACATTGTGTAAGCTTAAGGCGTACAGTGTGTCAATTTGATATATTTATATATTGCAAGATGATGACCCACCCTAGCATTAACTAACACCTCCACTATATCACTTAGTTACCCTTTTTATTTTTGCAATGAGAACAATTAAGGTCTACTCTCTTAGCAACTCTCAAGTATATACAGAAATATAGTACTACTAACTGTAACCACCTTGATCTAGATCCCCAGACCTTATTGGTCTTATAACGGCAAGTTTGTACCCTTTGGCCAACACTGTCCCTTCTGCCTTGATGTCCCAGAGAACACAGTAGCCAAGGATTGTTATCATGTGACTGTTGCCTTTGCGACATGGTGAGCTCCTTAAGGGTGGGGGGCCATGTCTCATTCATCTCTGAACCCCAGGTCTGACACACAGATGTATTAGGCTTTCTCTGTATTAGGCTGTCTATTGAGTACATGAAAAAGCAAAGAAAATACTTGGAAGACAAATTGGGACACCCCTTTTTATGTTTTGGGATTTTCATCAGCTACTTTTCCTGTGACCTTAGTCGTGATAAAATTCTACATTGGAATCAGAGCTTTCTCTGGAGACAGCTGGTCCTTCCATGGCCATTCCCTCTGTCACACAAGTCCTCATTACGTATTTCCCCTCTTCACCCAGTCAACATTCAGCAGATATTTATCAGGCACCACCATGTGCCAGGCTCTAGGCTAAGATCACGGGATACACTGGTAACCAAAACAAGTTCCCCACCCTGGTGGGACTTTCATTACAGCCCAGAGTCCCCCCATTCTCCAGGTAAATTCCTAACGATGTGCTGAGTCCCACACAGGCTGAGCCATTCTTTCTTAATCCGCTTCTGCAGACACAGCTCATGTACAAATGGGCCCAGCCAAAAATCTGCAGTGAAGATCTCAAGGGGGCTGTGAAACTGCCCGCTTCTGGCGTGAAGACCCGCTGCCCACCCTGCAACCCAGGCTTTTTCAAAACCAACAACAGCACCTGCGAGCCCTGCCCTTACGGCTCTTACTCCAATGGCTCTGGTAACCTCTTTATCTGCATCCTGCCCATTCCCACGGCACCCACGTGGGTGGTCGGCTGAATGTGCACTGTGTCCTTCCAAGGAGGCAGTAAGGACCGGGCCACTCTGTGGACTAAGTTCAGGAGAAGAGAGGGCAAGGCAGGACCTGTGTGTAGGTCAGAGTCACCCTTGAGAACTGCCTGCCTTCCTCCCTAGTCCAAATGCGAATGTGACTCGGGCTTGAAGTACTCAGTCCTCACTGCAGAGGCTTCCAGCATGCAGCAGGGATGCTAACCAGAAGGTCTGGGGAGCTGAGAGGTCCAGCTCGACATGATCAGAGCCATAAGCCATGCAGCGGAAAGGAGCTGGAAGGATTTGTGTGTATTCGTGTAAATGCGATTACCGAGAATAATGTGACAAATAATATGAACTATATGCATCAGACGAAGAGATATATTTAAGTTTTGAGATGAAGAATTTGGTGGGCAAGTAGCACAGCTGGAGTAAGGGAATTAAGGGTCAGAGTTTACATCTTGAGTTTGTTAAATACATTGTCAGAATGGTTTTGAGTCCACCCGGTATAACCGTGCTGTGGTGCTCAACATTACTCTCCTTTGGCTGCCTGCCCTCGTTGCCACTTAATCTGTGTGACAGCAGCTCCCGTCAGGGTGGCCGTGGCCTCGCCACTGAAGCTGTGGATCTTGTGGCTCCCCCAGATTGCACCCACTGCCCAGCCGGGACTGAGCCTGCCGTGGGATTTGAATACAAATGGTGGAACACGTTGCCCTCGAACATGGAAACCACCGTTCTCAGTGGGATCAACTTTGAGTACAAGGGCATGACCGGTAAGTGCATCCTCACTTACTGTGAGATGTCAGCTCCCTGCTTGCCTCCAGGGGCTCCTCCACTTCTTCATAATAGTGATGGCTACAGCAAAATGAGCTAAGCATGCCGTGCATCCTGTTGAAAGTTCCACTCCTCATGGACATTTATGCTGCCAAAACTTAGTTTTAGAGATAGAGCCAGAACTAGAGACAAGGCGCACACTCCAAAGAGATGCTCTAAGAGTTTCAGAGTCTCTGACTGACCGAAGAAGCAGGATAAATACCATGGTTTGGTCGGGGTAGTGGTTCTGGATGCCTCAAAGGACACTGTTCTCTCAGCGTGTCATCTGGGTGCACATGAAGTCACTAGGCGCTAACTCTCCTCTCTCCTTTTCCAGGCTGGGAGGTGGCTGGTGATCACATTTATACAGCGGTTGGAGCTTCAGACAATGACTTCATGATTCTCACTCTGGTTGTGCCAGGATTCAGGTGAGGAATACAAAGTGCAGGGGAAGCCCACACCACCTGGGCCACAGTCAAGTCCCACATAGCCTGGAATGTTGTAGAGAAGAGGGCTTCTGGCGTGCGGAAGTATGAGTTCAGAATAGAGGAGAGTAATGGCAGTCTGACGAAGTTAACCTGAATGCTAATATGGCTTCTTAGCTGCTGCCCGTGCTGGCGGACATACTGGTGGTGCTCCCTCTCATCTGGCTTCTCTCATCAGCTGGCCACGTGCTAGTCAAATTCTTCCTCCATGGGGCATCTGGATGGCTAAATTGGTTAAGCATCGAACTCTTGGTTTCGGCTCAGATCGTGATATCACAGTTGGTGGGTTCAGGCCCCACGTGAGGCACTGTGCTGTCAGAGCAGAGTCTGGTCGGGATTCTCTCTTCACTCTCTCTGCCCCTCCCCATCTGCACATGTGTGCACACACACACACACTCTCTCAAAATAAATTCATTAATTAACTTAAAAAAAATCATCCTCTTCATGGTATCTAGATAAAATGTTACCAAAAACAAAACAAAACAAAACAAAAAAACCAAAACCTCCCTTTAAAAAAGAGAGCCAGAAATACCTTTGGACAGTTCATCTTTATTTGGGGCAAGAAGACTGAGATGGATTGTTCTTCTTGTCACATTGGTCCCCATATCTCAAGAAGACCTAGGATGTTAAGCAATTTGTTTGCCTCTAAAAAAAATAATGGGGCACCTGGGTGGCTCAGTCAGTTAAGCATCCGACTTTGGCTCAGGTCATGATCTCGCAGTTCGTGGATTCGAGCCCGGCGTCGGGCTCTGTGCTGACAGGTAGCTCAGAGCCTGGAGCCTGCTTCAGATTCTGTCTCCCTCTCTCTGACCCTCCCCCCTGCTCATGCTGCCTCTCTCTCTCTCAGAAATAAATAAAACACTAAAAATTAAAAAAAAAAAAATACTGCAGGCAGTGTAGTACGATGGAAAGAACACGAGACCGAAGACAGGACACTTGAATTTTGCCTCTCACTGGCTTCATGAACTTGGAAAAGTCACCACACTCCCCCTATAGGCTTCAGACTCCTCATGTATAAAGCAAGGGGACAAGGGAGATTGACAGTCTGTGACTTTGGACTAACTCAGGTTGAGATGATTCTTCCAGCCCAGTGGTTAGCATGACTGTATAGACAGGAGCTGGGACTGGTGGTCCTTAAGTACAGGCAAATGGCCAAAGCCAAAAGAAAAGCCATAAATGGATTTCTAAAGCCAAAGTGAATTCTTCTGCCCATATGCACTTTCAGGGTGAGGGGCGACCACTGAAGAGGTTCCCTATTTTACTCTGTCTTCTGCATCACCTCTTCAAGCTCCCTCCTTTCCACCCTCAGCACATAGTGGTTGCTCAAAAGGTATTGATTTCCCTTCTGTTAATTTACACTACTCAGAGATGAGCAGTTATATCACGTTTGCAAGGTGAACAAAAATCTTAGACTTTTTTGGGGGGATAACATTCCCAAAAGTACATATTAGTTTGCAAATCTGATTGCTATAGTAAAGTGTTTCCTCAACTCACCCACTCACCACTAGCCCCTACATGCCCCCTTGGGCATGGATCTCTCTTTCCCAAAAGAAGGACCAGCCTGGAAACTTGGCTGAAGAGATGGCAAATTGAAATATCTGCTCATTCAACCCAGGAAAAGCTCTCACCACCCCAGAGGGTGAGCGACTAAGTGAATGTAGGTAATTTACATCTTATGATGGTGGAGCTTCTCAAACCTTAATTTAATGCTTATGCATCGCCTGGGAATCCTGTTAAGGTGCAGATTCTGATTCAGTGGGTCTGAGGAGAGGCCTGAGGTTCTGTACACCTAATGAGCTCAGGTTAGGGTGATGCTGCTGGTCTGGGGATCCCATTCTGCTAATGAGGTTACATAGCATTTTACAAAGCACTCGTACATCTGGCATGCCTTTGGATCTCACCACAATGATGGAAGGTGAATAAGAAAGATAGTATCACCTTCATTTTACAGATGAGGAAACTACAATTTGGCTAGGATGAGGTCGCATAGCTCGGTGGCAGAATTGGACTTAATCATGCCCTTTCCAACATACTCAGAACTTAATCCTGTCCCCCTGGCAGACCCTTTGCTGCTGTCTGGGCTCTTCAGTAAGCACTACCTGATCTCTGGAATTGACTTTTAATCTCTGCCCCATAGACCGCCACAGTCAGTGATGGCAGACACAGAGAATAAAGAGATGGCCAGGATCACATTTGTCTTTGAGACCATCTGTTCTGTGAACTGTGAGCTCTACTTCATGGTGGTATGTTTCCCTCTCTTTTTCTGCTATGGGGCCTCAGGCAACCATAGGGAAGGTTGGCCCCGCTGCCCCACTGGCACATCAACGTAACTGACACCCTGCTTGTAGTGACTTCACAGAGGAAGGGCCCAGACCATCCATCAGGGACTTCACAGTTTAACATGGGTCTGACCAACTGCGATGGCCCCAGGGATGGCGGCAGTGTGGGAACCTTGCCATCCACCAGCCACCCAGCAATTGTACTGTCTTCACTTGTCTGTCTTGGGTTCAGGGTGTGAATTCTAGGACCAACACTCCCGTGGAGACGTGGAAAGGTTCCAAAGGCAAACAGTCCTACACCTATATCATCGAGGAGAATGCTACCATGAGCTTCACCTGGGCCTTCCAGAGGACTACTTTTCATGAGACCGTAAGCTCCTCCCCTTCTGCAGACCCGTGGCTCTCAGGAGAGGCCTCTGAGTCAGGACGATCCCTGGCATTAGCTTAAGTATGAGTGTGAGGTTCAGAATCCAAGGGTTAGAAGGATCTTAAGGAGTCAAGCAGAGAACTGCCTATTCCGGCCCCTGAGAAGCACCCAGCCTTGTCCAAATGACTTCCAGGGAAGATGACACTCTAAGTACTAATACTTTTTTTCCCCTTTCACAAGGAAAAGACCTACTTTTTTTCATATAACATTATTTATTGCATATTTCCCCCACGGCTCTTAATATTTTTAGTAAACATTTAGAATAGGTTAGTCTTGGTTTGATGTGACACAAATGGACACAAAGAGCTACTGTTTAGTGAGTGAAAAGGAAAAAAAAAAAAAAAAAAAGGATGCTTCCAAGACTTTTCTCAAGTATTATAGGGTAAAGAGGGTTAAGTAGGAATTTGCTATTTCTAGAGAACTCAATGGCTGCTGGTGTCTCAGGCCTCTGCCCTCTTTCGTCTTGTTTCCAGGGCAGGAAGTATACCAATGACGTTGCCAAGATCTACTCCATCAATGTCACGAACGTCATGGATGGAGTGGCCTCCTACTGCCGCCCCTGTGCCCTGGAAGCCTCTGACGTGGGCTCCACCTGCACCGCTTGTCCTGCTGGCCACTACATCGATCGGGATTCAGGAACCTGCCACTCCTGCCCCCCTAACACAATCCTGAAAGCCCACCAGCCTTATGGCGTCCAGGCCTGCACGTCCTGTGGTCCAGGGACCAAGAGCAACAAGGTGCCAGCAATGTGTCATGCATTCTAACCTCGGCCCTCTGGATGGGCCGCCTCAGAGGGTGCCAGGACCTGGGGGGGGGGGGGGGCTCCTGAGGGGCTGATAACCAAGCATTCCCTGTAGCTTACTCCCGGGTTAAATCCTTGAGGACACCCACCCAGGCTGTGACCATGGATGGCAAGTTCTCAGGTGTAGACGTTGGTTTTCAGGGTCTAGGCCTCAGTCAAGGACAAGTCTCATCTTCAGGAGATGGGTTAGAGAGATCTGTGACTGTCTGGTGCAGAGGTTATTTGGCATCTCTGCAGAGACCTCAAGGAAAGGAATAGGAGCTCGGGTTCACATTCAGCCTACTTCAACCCAGACTTGTCATGGGAATTTGCCCCCTGTCCTTTGGGAAGGCAACCCACCTTTGCCAGGAAGGACATGCAGTTAACTGGTGTTGCTCTCTTTTATCCTAGAGATTTTTCTAAAGTAGAAACACAGTGCTATTTCCCCCACGTACTTTCTAAAGCTAAGAAAGCCCCGTGACAGAAAGCTCTTAGGTACTTGTTAATTTATAACAAATATAAATGAATTTGTATTTTATTGATCACAACCACATGAACACACATACTTTATGCAGTCCACAAAAGCTGCTCAGTTTGGCTGTGCAGTAAATGCCACAATTCTGTAGGCCCTGGGTAACCTCTTTTGGGCACCCTAGACTTTGCCACAGACTTCCTCCCCTGGGGCTCCCTCTGCTGCTGTGGGAGGGAATGGCAGTTGCGTAAGGCTGCTGCCGAATGGGGACACTAAAACAGAGCCCCGGAGGGGGTTATGGGAAATAAGTTCCCTTTTGAAGGTCAGTGTCCTGCAGAGAACCTGGGAGAGAGGAGGCAGGGTTCTGTGGGTTTTAAATGGGGAGGGAACAAGGCTTGTATCTTCTCTTCTGCCATCCTGAACACCCTCGGTCCAGTTAGCACTTCATCTTCTGCTTCAAAGCAAGAAGGGCTACCTTGTGTATTGAGAGAGTTCTATATCCAGGCCTAGAGACAAGGCTATAAAAATCTGACTGAATTCTTTACTAGACACCAGTAGATTTGCGTTTGTACATCATATATGTGCTAATAATTGAATTGTGAGAGGCACATGAACCCCCACTAGCCCATTTCCCTTCTTTTAATGTCCACTCGATCTGTACACCCGCTTCTTGCTCCCCTGGGCTGGACCAGGCTGGGGACGACAGCCACCGCTCTCCACCACAGTCTCCTCCAGGCGCTGCCCACGCAGCGGGCCTGACGGACCCTCTCCCCTCAGATCCACTCTCTGTGCTACAATGACTGCACGTTCTCAATCAACACTCCGACCAGGGTTTTGGACTACAACTTCTTGGCTTTGGCAAAAACCATCTCTCTGGCTGGAGGGCCAAGCTTCACTTCCAAAGGGCTGAAATACTTCCATCACTTCACCCTCAGTCTGTGTGGAAACCAGGTAAGGTGTATGAGAGCTGATGGGTGTCATATCGAAAGGGGACACCAATGGGTCAGAGCCAGAGATGACACAGGAGCAAAGCCAAAACCCAGGCAGCAGGTGACTGAGGAAACTGAAAGGTTTCTAAGTGATTATTATTCTCTCTGAAGACCTTTTCCTCTAAAGTTAGATCTTTGGATTATAAACACTTGGGAAAATAAAGGTGTTTGAGATAAGATGTTCATTTACTCCTGCCTGACTTTTATTCTTTCTAAACGAATATGTAAATACAATGCAGGAGGAAGATTTTGTTCCCTTTAAAAAGCAGTCTTCACTAATCATGGAACTTGTTATTTGTTTTCTCCCCCCCCCCCTTTTTGTAAATTTAAATTTTAGTTAACATAGGGTGCGGTGTGGTTTCAGGAGTAGAATTCAGCGATTCATCACTTACTTAACACCCAGTGCTCATCACAACAAGTGCCCTCTTTAGTAGCCATCACCCATCTGGCCCATCCCCCACCCACCTCCGGCTGTCAACCCATAGTTTGTTCTCTCTCATTTAAAGAATCTCTTGTGGTTGGTTTCCCTCTCTTCTCTTCCCTCCCCTTCCCATATGTTCATCTGTTTTGTTTCTTAAATTCCGCGTATGAGTGAAACCATATGGTATTTGTCTTTCTCTGATTGACTTATTTCGCTGAGCATAATACCTTCTAGCTCCATCCACAGTACTCCAAATGGCAGTCTTTTATTCTTTTTGATGGCTAAGTAATATTCCATTGTATATATACCACATCTTCTTTGTTCATTCATCAATCAATGGACATTTGGGCTCTCTCCACAGTTTGGCTATTGTTGATAAGGCAGCTGAATTATCAACAATCTGAATCTGTATTTTTGTATCCCTTGGGTAAATACCTAACAGTGCAATTGCTAGATCATAGGATAGTTGTATTTTTAGTTTCTTGAGGAACCTCCGTACTGTTCTCCAGAGTGGCTGCACCAGTTTGTATTCCCACCAGCACTGCAAGAGGCTTCCCCTGTTATTTGTTTTCCAAAGTCTGGATAAAATAAACTGTTTGTAGTTCATCTCTAAGAACCTTTGCTGACAGGAAGTAATGTGAGGGACACCTGGGTGGCTCAGTCGGTTGAGTGTCCGACTTTGACTCAGGTCATGATCTCACAGTTCGTGGGTTCGAGCCCCATGTTGGGCTCTGTGCTGACAGCTCAGAGTCTGGAGCCTGCTTCAGATTCTGTGTCTCTTTCTCTGCCCCTCCCCTGCTCATGCTCTGTCTCTCAAAAATAAATAAACATTTTTAAAAAAAAGGAAGTAATGTGAAAGGCTTTATAGGATGTTGAAAGAATGTTACCTTCAGCCATTTCATGCTGCTGCAAATATTTTAGATCCAAAATTCACAGGCAGAAATGTAAACAGCAATCACACCACTACTTCACTTAACTACATCACCAACAAGCCAGGATTTGCAGTTGGAGAGTGAGTTTCAAATGTTACAAAATAAAGAGCATCTTGAGTCTTTAGTCTGTGACCTTGTGTGGTGGTGAGGACTTTACACTGTACAGCTTTTATTTCTTTCTATAACATACACAAAACATTGATTTGTGTTTATATAGAGAACATGCCAAGAAATAAACTAATCAATGTTCTATGTCAACTGTGTCTTTAAAAAATAAAAAAGAAAGAAAAGAACTAATCTATGGAAAGTTAGAGATATATATCTCTATCTTGTCTTTCAAAGTCTTTGAAGAAGTTAAAATGAAGCTTCCAAAGTGAGTTAGTGATAACTCAGGAATTGAGACTGATTAAAGCAAGACCCATGTAGCAAAAGTTTCATTCAGTGAGCTGGGAGGGAGATGAAGATGGGGAATTTGGAGAGATTGTCTTTTTTCTTTGCTCCTTTTATCTTTTCAGAAATGCTTACTGTGTACTGTCACACTGCAGACTGGCAGTTCAAAGACAAAATAACTCTTTGTCTTACCATAATGTACAGATTTCTTTCTGTTCTCATGTTCCTTATTTCTTGCACTCTAAAAAATAAACTAAGAATCACCAGATTTGGCAAGTGACAATAGCTTCATTTGTAACAAAATTTAGAATATTGAAAATCCTATATCGTAAATGCCTAATACACTTACATTTTTTAAATTTTTATTTTTATTTATTCATTTTAATTTTTTAATGTTTATTTATTTTGAGAGATAGAGAGACAGAGTGCAAGCTGGGGAGGAGCAGAGAGAGAGGGAGACACAGAATCCAAAGCAGGCTCTAGATTCTCAGCTGTCTGTGCAGAGCCCGACACGGGGCTTGATCTCACAAACCGTGAGATCATGACCTGAGCCAAAGTTGGACACTCAACCAATTGAGCCACCCAGGCATCCCAGAAAAAATTTTATTAAGTTTTAAACTTTAATCCCAGTATAATTAAAATACAGTGTTGCATTAGTTTCAGGTATATAATATAGTGTTTCAACCCTTCCATATATTTCCCTGTGCTCATCATGATAAGTGTGCTCCTAATCCCATCACCTATTTCCCCCATCACCTCCTCCCACCCCCCACGGCCTATGTCCTCTCTGGTAACCACCAGTTTGTTCTCTACAGTTAAGAGTCTGTTTCTTGGTTTGCCTCTCTCTCTCTTTTCCCCCCACTTTGTTCATTTATTTTGTTTCTTAAATTCCACATGAGTGAAATCATGAGTATTCGTCTTTCTCTGACTGACTTATTTCACTTAGCATTGTACTCTCTAGCTCCAACCATGTAATGGCAAAAGGCAAAATTTCATTATTTTTTTATGGCCGAACAATATTCCATTGTGTATGTATACCACATCTCCTTTATCCATCAATATATTGGTGGATACTTGGGCTGCTTCCATAATTTGGCTATTGTAAACAATGCTGCAATAAACTTAGGGGTGCAGGGGCACCTGGGCAGCTCAGTCAGTTGAGCATCCAACTCTTGATTTTGGCTCAGGTCATGATCTCAGTCATGAGATCAAGCCCCACGTTGGGCTCCATGCTGGGCATGGAGCTTGTTTAGGATTCTCTCTCCCTCCCTTCCTCCCCCTGCCCCTCCCCCACTCACACTCTCATTCTCTCTCTCAAAATAAAGAAATATAATTTTTTAAAATATATTGAACAAATGATTTTTTTAATGTTTATTTTTGAGAGAGAGAGACAGAGTGTGAGTGGGGGAGGGGCAGAGAGAGAGAGGGAGACACACAGAATCTGAAACAGCCTTCAGGCTCTGATCTGTCAGCACAGAGTCCAATGCGGGGCTCAAACCCACGAACCAGAGATCATGACCTGAGCTGAAGTCCGACGCCTTATCGACTGAGCCACCCAGGCATGCCCCCACCAAATGATTTTATATTAGCAAACAAGTTATATATTGATACTCCACAAATTTAACATTTTTATAAGAACAATATCTCAATATTTCCTCTATCACAAAATCTCCAGGAGGAAGGAGTCTTATGCCTGCCATCTTCCAGAGTTCTCTACAGTGAGAGTTGTTATGGAATATGTATTTCTTGGCATGTTCTTTATATAAACACAAACTTTCTTCTCTTGATACATTTTAAAAAATGGAATAGGTTCTAATTGCCTCTGAGATGTCCTACCTCAAGGCAGGGAAGGGGTTAGTAACGGGTCTGTTTCAACTGCTGGGCATCTCTGTCTGGAAAGTACTCCCAAGACAAGCACAGTGGAATCACAGCACTAAGGGAGATACAGAGAGGGGAATGTGAACCAGGCCGGATGTCCAAACATTGCAGGGAACCGGTCATATATTTTGGTAGCTATCTAGAAAACTGGCCGGGTAAGGTGGGCCAGTAGATGAAGAGCTCCAGATTGTTTGCCACCTGTCACGACACCACTCATATGAGATTCCCACGTGACTGCATGGAAACAAAAAGGCTTGCGACCCCTGGGCCAGGGTTCCAGAAACTAGGGCACCTAGTCCTTATTTTTAGCTTAAAAAGAAAATCTGTCTTATAATTAGATCTGGGATGAATCATTCCACTGCAACATACCATCAGAAGGCTGAAATTTCAGATGTGAGAATGCTGCGCCCTCCTTCCTTTAGGGAGTTCTGTGACCATTCACTCCTTCCCACTTCTTCCTCCCCATGTCTGCCAACGCAGGGTAAGAAAATGTCCGTTTGTACTGACAATGTCACTGACCTCCGGATTCCTGAGGGTGAGTCAGGTTTCTCCAAATCCATCACCGCCTACATCTGCCAGGCGGTCATCATTCCCCCGGAGGTGACAGGCTACAAGGCTGGAGTGTCCTCACAGCCTGTCAGCCTGGCTGACCGACTTATCGGTGAGTAAACCAGCCGCTGCAGCCTGTGTGGGCTTGTATGTGTGTAGGAGAGAGTGAGGCCACCAGGCTTTCAGCTACAAAGGCCCCAGGTGAGGGACCCAACCTCCTGACCTCTGTTTTCTATTCCACTCCCTGGGGCCTCGGACAAACCTTGGTTCACCCTTTCATGAGCCACTCGGGGATGTGATGAGATGGAGGAAGGTTGGATGTTGACAGGTATTGAAAGACTTGAAGTGGTTGCCAGCTCATGCTACTAGTGACAACTAATTAGGAGCTCTAATTTGGCAGGGGTGACAACAGATATGACTCTGGATGGAATCACCTCCCCAGCTGAACTTTTCCACCCGGAGTCCTTGGGAATACCGGACGTGATCTTCTTTTATAGGTGAAGATGAGAGACCAGGCCGATGCAAGGGAAACCTAGGCCCCTCCACAATTTCTGGTGCATCCCTCTCTCCAGCCACCTACTTACCAAGCCAGAACATATCTGAGGTCTAGCAGCTCCACCCAGCAATGACAGCTCTAGGCTGGGAGTTCACTGATTCCCAGCTTCTGGGGTATTATTGGGGCAGATCTGCCCTGGAGGCAGGGAGAAATAGAGGATTATCAGTGGCTGACTTCCCTTCCGGCCTTAGGGGACTCCGGTGTTAACATATGCTAACCTTTCCTGGACCAGTGCCTTTCCCCTTCACCACATCTCCCTGATCCCCACACTCTCGGTGTATAAACCCAGGCCTAAGCACTCCCAAGTCCTCACTTCCCCAGCAAGGGAACTGTTCCATGTTAACATCAGTGACTCTCCATTGGCACAGGTGAGTGATTCATTCCCCTGCGGGGGTTGGCTTTCTCTGCAGGTCCAATGATGTGACCCAGTCCTGCAGTTCTGGGAGATCAACCACTGTGCGTGTCAGATGCAGTCCACTGAAACCCGCCCCCGGAAGTCTGTCGCTACCTAGGTAAAGGGGTGTAACAAAAGGTCTCCCTTCTTTGGACTCATTTCATCCCAAGAGCCAAAGAGAAGACGGTCTGAGAGCCATGAATGGGCTCTTGGGGATACAGTCAGGGCTCCAAATTCTCAATCTTCAGATGTCAGGAATGGGGCAGAAAGAGGAGTCAAAGCTACTCTCACATTCCCATAGTATTATGGGGACAGCAGCATAGCCAAGTGATTATTTGATTCATCTCCTCCCCTTACTAGCTATGTTATTGTGCATACATTTCTTATCTCCTCTGGGCCTCTTTTTCCTTATCTGTAAAATGAGGATAATAATAAGTTCCCTCAGGGGTGGTTGTGAACTTGTGGACTTCTCTTGGTGTCTGGCGTGTACTTACTATTATTAAGATGAGTAACGTTTAAGGAATCCTAGGAATCTCCCTGCAACTAAAAGACCCAATTCTGAGTTTAATAGCTGAGTACATTAAATCGAGAATTCTGGAACCAATTTGATGGCTGTACCCCTCCCCCACCTCCTTTTTTTCCCCCTGTAACTCCAACTAACATTTTGAGGGGCACTAGTGTCTTTTTTGTGTGTGTATTTTTAAATTTTCTTAATGTTTATTTTTGAGAGAGACAGAGTGCGAGTGGGGGAGGGGTAGAGAGAGAGAAACTGAAGAAGCCTCCAGGCTCTGAGCTAACTGTCAGCACAGAGCCCGACACAGGGCTCAAACCCACGAACTGTGAGATCACGACCTGAATTGAAGTGGGCCGCTTAACTGACTGAGCCCCGCAGGCAGAGGGGCACTAGTGACTTGAGGAAGATGGTTTGGGAAATGTTGCTCCTAAGAGCCGCTCAGAGAGATGGGGAACAAAGCAGGACATTTTGACCCAGCAGTGGTGTCAGAATGTAAGACCGCTGTTCTTGTTGGTATTAACATCACAGTAAAGTACATAACAGATGTCCATGACTTGAAGTCTGTTCCTGAAACCCACGCCCCAGGAAGCTGCATCAAAGAGGCTTTTTGCAAAATGTCACAAGTGCATGGAGAGAACAGGAGCCTCTGAAGGGTTGGTTGGGGCAGCCATGCTAGAGCTAGACACCTGACATTAGCTCTCATAATGTCAGCAAAACAAACGGGCAGAGGGTAGAGAGCCCAGGCAAGGTAGGGAAATCGGAGAGCAAGACCTGTGTTGAGAGTAGGTGGAAGGGTCCTGTGGGGCTCACAGTTTGGCAAGGAGAGAGAGATCAGGCAAGTGATGAGATGACGGGACTCCCACCACCCGGCCAGTGAGCACTCACGTCTCTTTTCTGCTTTGCTAGCACATGCTCCGATGGGACCTGTGACGGCTGTAACTTCCACTTCCTGTGGGAGAGTGTGGCTGCCTGTCCGCTCTGCTCCCCAGCTGACTACCACGCTATCGTCAGCAGCTGCGTGGCTGGCATCCAGGTGGGTTTCTCTCCTTGGGGACATCCCACGAGAGAAGGGAATGCAATCTCTGAGTTCCTCGTTTTTCTCCCCAACAGAAGACTACTTACGTGTGGCGAGAACCAAAGCTATGCGCGGGTGGCATCTCCCTGCCTGAGCAGAGAGTCACCATCTGCAAAACGATCGATTTCTGGCTGAAAGTGGGCATCTCTGCAGGCACCTGTACTGCCATCCTCCTCACCGTCTTGACCTGTTACTTTTGGAAAAAGAATCAAAAGTACATGATGGGGTACTGGAGTTTGGGGATGGACGGGGCTGGATCATTGAAGCGGGAGGAGAACATCCGAGAGTTAAAGTCATGGGGCTGTTCTCTGGAGTTGGCCACAGACCCTGTGACTCTGGCCAGAGACTGGTTGAGCCACTTATCCAACGTAGGCATTGGTTATCCTGACTCCCGAAAAGGGACAGTACCACACGGCAGACTATAAATGGCTGTTAGATGCTCAAAAGCAAAGCAAAAAGTATCCTAAATCGGTTGTTATTTATTAACAATTAAAATAATAACTTTATGACTCCAATATTTCTATTAAGCTTTGGGAACATAGAAACAGTCAGCCTTAAGGAAAAAGATCACTGAACTGGAAATCAAGGAAATCAAGATTCCTTTGCTTTAGGCCCAGCCCTCACACCATTTTGCTGTGCTTCCATTTCCTTATCGATGGTTGCCTGTTTATAGCAACCTCTCTCTCCTCCCTCCCTTAGTCCACATTTTGTTGTCTTATGTTTCCCATCCCCCTGTCTCCTAGACTGGAGTACAAGTACTCCAAGCTGGTGATGAATGCCACCCTCAAGGACTGCGACCTGCCAGCAGCTGACAGCTGTGCCATCATGGAAGGCGAGGATGTGGAGGATGACCTCATCTTTACCAGCAAGAAGTCACTCTTCGGGAAGATCAAATCATTTACCTCCAAGGTAGGGAGGCGGGCCAGTGCGCTGAGGTCAGGCTGGAGGGCTGGAGAAGACACCAGTCCTAGGACATGGAATGTTCCCATGCTGTTCAGGGACCACCACTCTGTTCCCCACCCTCCCTACTGTTCTATGCTCCCACCTCAAATTCCTGGCTTCTGTCTTCTGTATTTCCACACCATTACTGTTCCCACGGGGCCCAAGGCTGCTCTTGACCAGGCTCCTTCTCTCCCAACATGCTCTCCAGTTGATGAACTGTTTGGGCCTTTTAACTTCCAGAAGGCGTATTGAACCATCCACGTTGTAAGAATCATTCCCCCTGCCCCCCTCCCCACTTTTTTTTTTTGGAGGGTGGGGAAGAGGTGATCTCTAGGATCGACTTCGGATAGAAGTGAGGCTCTCCTTTGACCAGTGGAGGGTGCTATCCCCTGATGCCTGGGCCCGGTCCTTTGGGGGCTGAGTCAGCAGCTAAGTCTAGGCTGCTCACCACCACTGAGCATTGTGGAGCTGGGAGAGAGAGTAGGCTCCGTCTGTGTGGGTGGGTGAGCAAGCCTGAAGCTCATAAATGCAATACTGACAACACTGTCGCTGGATGTGGGCCCAGCAGAGAGCACCCAAGCAACTCCTCCAGGGCCACAGCCCTCTGCAGCCCCACTCTAGGAACCCACAGCTCCCTGCTGCCCTGAACCAGTTCATCAAAGGGGCGTGGGCGGGGAGGGTGAGGAGAGAAGAGAGAGGACTGGAAGGTTGGGGAGGGAAGGAGGGTGGGTAGGTGTATAGATTGTGGAATCTCATTCCCTTTGTGCTGACCTATCTGGGGAACTCCCTTGGCGTTTTTCAGGAAGTGTGTGTGTGTGTGTGTGTGTGTGCGCGCGCGCGCACGCTCTTGTGTGTGCAACCAATGGGAGAACAATTTACCCTGGGACCCCTGAGTCCTCCTGGGCTTTTGGAATTCAGCAAAGATGCAAGGCAGAGGGTTTTAAAGATTTTTCTTATCCTCTGACTGACTGAAAGGACCAAGAAGAATAGAGGGAATCTTCTGTCTGTTTCCACAAAGCCACTGGAAACAGGAATTCCATAAGGGTTCCTTCTGTCACCTCTTTTCTATTTCTCTCCTTTGTTCCACAAACTTGCCCCCCCATCCCACCCCGTGCAGCAGCCAGCTCCTGTCACCATCTCTCTTTCAGAGGACTCCTGACGGATTTGACTCGGTGCCACTGAAGACATCATCAGGAGGCCCAGACATGGACCTGTGAGAGGCCCCGCCCTGCCTCCCCTGCCTCCTCACCTTGGCACATCACCTTGCAAGCCTGTGGTGATTTGGGTGCCAGCTTCCTGCTGGAAATCTCTTCATTGTGGCCTTATCAGAAGAAGTTTGAATTTCAGATTACTGTTTTTTTATAGAGTACCCAAACCCTACTTTCTGCTTGCCTCAAACCTGTCAAATACACCCACACTTTGTTTGTATATTACTCCCTTGCTTGCATCTTGTTTCCCCAAATGGTCCAGCCTCACCAGAGCCATGGCTTTGTCTGCTCATAATTCTTACAGCACTGGAGTGAAAAGATTTCTCTCTTCTTAAGTATAGAAACAACTTCATCTGTCCTCTTATTTAAGGGCAGAAGCAGCTGGGAGTTTTTCTGATGATATGCCCTCAGCTCCTGATCTCTTTAGGAGAGAGGTTGGGGAAGGAGGGTGTGGGCATTCCCTCCTGGACCTGCGTGGTAGTCTGGATTCATCATCCCTGGATGACCAACTCAAACTGAGTTTCATGGATAGGCTGAGGGCAAGGTGAGTAAGGCGTGGGGAAGAAAAGGCTCAATAAGCACAAAAGAGAAGCAACAAGGAAAGTTTTGTTTTATTTTTTAAACTAGGTACTTCACTCCCTTTTCCTAAGTAAGTGATAAATATTCTCACAGAAGCCAAAGGAAAAAGTGCACCAAGAAAATGCCCCAAGCCGTGGTGGACCTATTCTCCACATTTTTTTTTTTTTTTAACATCCCACCATCTCCCTATAACACTAAAGAGAAAAGGGAAATGTTCTAGCTTTATTCTCTGCTTGCTTTTACCCACAGAGATGACAAACCCTACCAGTAAGGAAAATTGCCTGTCCTTGAGGGCCCCATTCCTAGAGGCTTGAGCCGTATCATGGAAGAGGGGTATCTTATTTTGAAAGAACACAAGGATGCAAAGGTTTTAATGGGGTCATACCAGGGGATCCACCCCACAGTGGGATGGACCTGAGGTGGCCAAGATGTCTGGTCCTCAGCTTAACTCACTCATCTGCTCAGCTATGGAATAAACATTTTCTAAGCTGGCCAAAAGACGAAAGGACTCCCAGCCCCTACTACAGCCACGGAACCAGATCAGTCTTCAAGGAGGAAAGAGTAGAGGGAGTTGAACCAGGTGTTTAGCAAACGGAACAACTCACACTTTCAAGTCTCTATCCTTCTCCTTCTCCTGTTCTCACTCCCTATGTGCGCTAAAAAACTAAAAGGACTTCCTGATTTCTGGCAGCATCCTTTTTGAAAGGTGAGTAAAGTGAGTGTCCTCTGTGCCCCTTTTCTCTACTTTTGCACCAAGTATAATCAGTGGGCTTCACGTGACTCCAACAGCAAAACCAGTGTAAGAACTTAATCTCCTATTTTCTTTCTACTACTGGGAATTCTCCTTCCCTCACTATCAGGCTAGCACAACCGTCCCTCGGTCAAGGGCCCAGTTGCCCATGCTTGTACCCATCCCCTTTTTTGGGTGGCCACTTGGTGCCCAGAGGGTAGGTAGAGAATGGGGATAGCATTTCTAAGTGGTTTGTCTGCCATAAAAATGGTCTGCTGGTCTGGTTAGCCCCTGCTGCGCTGGCAGTGTGGTCTTATAAAAGGGTCAGTGAGAACCAGGTCCTGGTGTCACTCTGAAGAGATCACTGCCTTCAGTGACACTCTGCTGTCACTGAAGGCAGGTAGTCCCTTTGGTTCAATAAACCTAGAAACTTGGGGGGGGGGTCTTCCTCTTATGGGAGTCAGGCTCTCAGACTCTGCAGGAACGTGGGAATGTCTCCCACCAGATGCAGATACCTAGCTCCTGAACTCCAGCCTCAAGTTTTCTGTAGCCTCGGTATCACCCTGAGCATCTGCTTTCCCACTGAATAACGTTCTTTTGTGACAAGAGCCATATAAGGGCCTTAGACCACCTTCAAACCAGTAGGAAGAAGTATATGCCCTGTTGACTCCTTTATTCTGACCTCTGGAAACTGAGTGCCCCCAGAGCAACCTCAAACTCTACTGATTCGATGGAGTTGTAATGCTTTAAGCATCTCCTGTTTACTATCGCTTAGTGTGCCGACTTCCCTGTGTCCTGCCAGAAAGCTCCTGAGTTATGATATCAGGGTCACCTGTGGCGTAGACAGATATTTTTTTAACTCTACTGAGATATAATTCACAAACCATACAATTGGCTCATTGAAAATGTACAACTTAATGGATTTTAGTATATTCACAGAATTGTGCAGCCATCACCATAATCAATTTTAGAACAGACACATGTTAGATTTTATATGGGAAAAGTGTTTAGCTCTTAAGCAAAGGCAATAGTGGTTTGCTACTGGGGGAGGGAGTGTGGGCTCCAGAGACAAAATATTTATATCCCATTTGGCTACCTAGAGTTCTAGAAGACACAAGTAATTCTCATCATGTAGGCATCACCTGACTTGGCTGGGAAAACAAACAAACACTGTGGTGTATTCAAGGTCCGGGAGATTTCTTACGCCAACACAACTTTTTTTGTTTCTTTTGGTCTGACTCTACATTAAAGATAAGACTGACTATATTTATACAATGGAGACTTTGTAACTGATTTTTCAGCTTTGTGAAACCAAATTTTTCTCTCATCAGGACTGCTTGGATTTCCTTTTTATTCTGTATTCCACGAGTTTGTAGGAGATGGCTATTGCATGTCATACTTTTTTTTCCTTTTTTGTGTGTGAAATAAAAACATATGTTTCAAGTTGTTTTTCTCAAACATGAGTGGGGTGGCTGGATGGGTGAGTGAGAAATGGAAGTGTCCTTGAAGCTTAAACTGAAGATGAGGATGATTCTGGAGCCCCGGAGTGACAGAAATGAGCATGCTTCAGAGCAATAGGGACCTAGGCTAGAAAGGCTCTCACCACCTGTCCAGGAATGAGCCAACAACCAAACCCTGCTTCTGCGGTAATAAAATGCATCTATCTAATGATGCCTTCACTCCCCAAACTGGGTGAGGATCAAAGAGACAACACATAAAGCACTTAGCATGTTCTCTCCCTTCCTTTCCAGTTCAGTTTTCTCTTTGGTGCCACTGAGGCCAGCCATAGGACACTGTATCTATGAAGACAAGTAAAAGCCACTGCTTTGGGTGTGACGTGGATTCTTATAGAGCAGATGTGGACAAAGTCCTAGAGGACATCAGGACCGGCCATTTCCAGCAGTAGCTGGGTCTTCCTGCTTTACTGTGTCCTTTCACTCTGGTTGAGGCCATGTAACCTCCCAAAAAGATTTCCCTCAACTGGTTGTTTCCCTCAGACTGAGGTACACCTGGTTGTGCTAATGGTTAAATATTTAAATATCATCCCTGCTTATAATCAGAAAGTCTAAACTAGAGGCAGGTAGTATCCTCATTAAATAGATGAAGAAACTGCATCTCCAACAGAATTACTAATGTGGCGTGTAAGTCCCTAACAGCCTACCTGCCCCTCTCGGCCCACATTGCTTCTACTCTGACCACACAACTGTTAACTGCCCCATATAAGCTCTTGCATGCCTCCCTGCCTTGCCTGGCCTATGCCTCTGCCTTTGCGCCTTCCTTTTCACCTGATAGACCCCCACCCAGCCTTCAAAATCACCCCACTGTGAAACTTTCCCCGGCTCACCCAGTGGGGACACACGTGAAGACACGATGACATGGGAGTACCACAGTTAACTTACATGAATTCAACCGTATGTTGTGTCTAATGCATCAAAGAACAACAGACATGACCAAGCTTGAAAGTGTGGGGGGACATAAGTGAATGATTTTAAGGGTTTCCCAATCACTGACAAAGAAGTGAAACACATGGTCAGGTTACCAGGCAAGAAGATACTAACGACTTGGTCTAAACCTTAAAGAAGACAATTAATTGAGAACCACAGAGCAACAACGCCTATTGAAGAGACAGAAAAACTGACATAGGGTTGCATATAAAATGTATATGGATAATTTAAGAGGTATTTGAGGAGAATTTAGAATATACACTAATTCCATTTTAGTGCTCAGGTTAACAGTCCCACAGAAAAGGTAATACCCCAAACCACACAGTTTGGTAGAAGAACGGACACCTCATTCCAATTCTAACAGAGGGAGAGGTGGGATCAAAGTGCCCCAAGATCCTGGCAGCTTTCCCTGACCCATGTTATTTTTAGATGGTTCCTCCTTCATTGTCCAAGGATGGCAGCATGAACTTCCTTTGTTACTGTGTCTCTCTGACAGAAGGGAGTGGGCAGCCTGGAACTGGAGGTGGGGTTGCCAGTTTCTCCTGAAACAGGATGATAAATGTCACTGTACTGTGTGAACCTAGAAGAGTGGGTGCTGCACCAGTCTGGGGAAGGGGTGAATAGTGTATCAGAGACAACTTCCTGGAGGAAGAAGAAATTAGCCAAGTGGGAGGAAGAGGGGAGGGAAGGGGAGCTCCAGCTAGAAGCACTCTGTACAAAGTCTCAGAGACAAGAAAGGGGAGCTACAAGTAGCTCAGCATGCGGAATGTGAGGAGGGAATGGCAAGAGACAAGGGGAACATTTTAGAGAAGTTGGTAGAGGGGAGATCATGAAGGGCTTTGACACCTATGTTTGGACACTCTCCTGAGGGCAACAGATGGCCACCGAAGGTTTCTAGCAGGGGAGTGAGAGGGTAGGGCTTGCATGTCCAACACTGAGAAAATCTTCAGATCCAAGAAGAAAAGAGAAGTAAAACAAGGCCCAGGAGAGCCCTCCTACATTAACCAGCACCAAACTGCTAAAAACTGAGGGTGGCATCTACGGCTGGGTGCCCACCCTCTTTTCTTGCTCCCTCCCTGCAGGTACTCATTCCCTCTAGGCTGCCCACCAGCTGCCCAGGACCCCCAAGGCCATGTCTCAACTAGGACTCTACTTCCCGAAACTGCCACATGCTTCTAACCCCTTAGCCTACTCCCTGTAACTCACTTACCCAACAAGGATATAACAAACACCTACCATGTGTAAGGCATCACGCTAGGTCCCATGGAGATACAGATGCATTAAAGGGTCTCTCTCCTATAAGGAAAAACAAACAAACAAACAAAAAAACCATTTTCTAGCCAAGTTCCTGAAGGCTCTGTTTTCTGCTAAGGAATTCTAACACAGAGACAAACCTAAACATTATTCTATCTTAGAGTCTTACCAGTATTCAGGTTTTGGCTCTATTGGTTAATTTCCCTGGGTCTCAGTGTTCCTGTAGAGAAGATAAAGGGGTTGGCCTAGCTGTTTTCCAGCTGGGGGTCCCTGAATCCCTGAGTCCTCAGATGCAGCACCCATAGCTATTCTTGGTATTAAAGCTTAACAGAAATCACACATCCATGAGTGGTACGGCTTCACATCATCACTCCATAAATAAAGTATTATGTTGATTTGTTTTTGCATTAGCTTCTGGCAATATAGTAACACTGGTTATATCCTGCTGATCAGAAATTCTAATAGCAGCTGTATATATTTGATTAGTAAGAAGGGGAAGTGAATTTTTAAAATCATGTTTGTTAGACAAACATATTTCAAAACAGTGGAGGCAGGGGCACCTGGGTAGCTCAGTCAGTTAAACATTCGACTTTGGCTCGGGTCACGATCTGGTTCATGGGTTCGAGCCTCACATCGGGCTCTGTGCTCACAGCTCAGAGCCTGGAGCCTGCTTCACATGCTGTGTCTCCCTCTCTCTCTGCTCCTCCCCAACTCATGCACACTCTCTCTCTCTCTCAAAAATAAAAAAAAAATATTTTAAAAATTAAAAAAAAAAGCAGGAGGACAAGGTGATGAAAAGGTTCGGAATGGTTAGGAATAATTAGGCTATCAGGTAGCTAAAATTCACCTCCAGCTCTAACAATGCTATGATTCTAAGCTGATGAAGTATGCTTTTATGTTAATTTGTCACATTTATCAGGTAACAGCATTTTAAAGGAAGATGGCTGTGATATAACAATAAGACTAATGGTGAAAATTCCTAAGGAAATTTGGAGAGGACGGAATTTTTTTTTAAAAATTAAGTTTATTTATTTTGAGAGAGAGAGAGAGAGCAAGGGAGGGGCAGAGAGAGAGGATGAGAGAGAAAATCCCAAGCAAGCTCCACACTATCAGCACAGGTCCTGATGGGGGCTCAAACTCATGAACCAGGAGATCATGACCTGAGCGGAAACCAAGAGTCGACCCTTAACTGGCTAAGCCACTCAGGCACCCCTGAAGAAGACAGAATTTTAAGGTAATCCTTCCAATTATACTGACTGGATTGGCCCAACAGGACCTCCTCCCCTCAGCCTGGGCCCCAGGGCAGGCTTAGGAACACCCATCACTATCATGAAACTTAGTAAACAAAACACACTTCATACATAGAAGCAGTCAGGCCCTATCAGACCTTGCCCTCAGAAGGCTTCAGAGAACCCAACACTTGGATGAAAGTTTTCTTTCATGTTTTCTTCAGAGACTGCAGCTTCCAACATGTCCTTTATACTGGTTTTAAATCTAGCATTCTAGGCAAACTGAACCTAGACAGGCAAACGCAGACAAACCTCTTATTCAAGCCTCCCTCTGGATCTGTACTCGTCAGCTTCACCACTGTCTTCAGCCTTATACTACATCTAAGTTGGCCTGGCAGACACTTATTGGGAAGCAGGGATAGCAATCCCATATGCTCATCACAGAAGCCCATGCCAAGTGTCATCGGATCAAGAAGGTCTTAGCATAGCTAGCTGTGGGGCATCCCTGGTGGGGCTCTAACCTCTCTGCAGAGAATGCAGTGAACAGACCATCTATTCCCAAATCGTCCAAATAATCACCTGTTACTAGGAGGGCTTTTTGATAACTTTGGCTCCAATCAGCAATCATGATATTTCACTGTAAAGGCCTGGACATTATTAAAATGAAAATATAAAATCTTTGTTCAAGGACCCAAGATGTGACTTCAAAACTTCATACTGCCTTCAAATCTCCTAAATACTTTCCTCTTGTTAAGGTCCCCTCATGTCTCTCTCTCAAAGATTTAGATCGCACTTTTCAAATGCTGTCATCCTAAAGATTGGTACCAGGACGATCTGCTTTACTCAATAAGCCAGTTAGGAAAGGTATCCTAGCTCTTAGGCAGGAGAACAGGAATCTTGAGGTAGCCCACAGACTAAAACATGTAACCATATTCCTGTCTCAAGATGGAGAAGAGAACAGAAATTCACGGAGAGGGTCCCGTCTTAGGATCCATGCTTGTAACACAAAAACTGGCATCTTTTGGAAGCTCCAGCTGCTAGAAGCCAGACACCATATTGGCAGGCCTCTGCCTGGCTTGAGAGATGCCCTTTAACATGAGGAAACTGAGGCACTCACTTTCATGGGGCAATGAACGACCCTACCACACAGGGACCAAGGCCACGAACCAGACCCGCCCTGCGCAAGACCTGAAAAGCCCACGCCCAAGCACACCTTCGGATCAGCTGCCCAGTCTCGGACACAGTTCCTTCCGGCCGAGAGGGGGCGCCTGCGCCCTCCGGCCGCGCCTGCGCGGAGAGGGCGGGTCAGCGCGCCGGCGCAGTGCGGCGGTAAAGTGGCTGCTGTGGTACGTTCCTCACGTCCCTTAGTGTGGCCCGAGACAAGGAAAGATGGTGCTGGATCTGGATTTGTTCCGGGTAGATAAAGGAGGCGACCCGGCCCTCATCCGAGAGACGCAGGAGAAGCGCTTCAAGGACCCGGGACTAGTAGATCAGCTGGTGAAGGCAGACGGCGAGT